TCTAAGATATTACACAAAAACATCTGTGGTAAGCGTCCAGCAATGTCAGCCATCAGTCATGGTCTGAAAACAAGTAGCTGAAGGCTTCCTAAGCCTTAGAAAAGTGAGATTGATCACATAGGAACTGAGCAGTTGAAGATTTAAGGAGAAAATATCTGAATTTTTCATACTTCTTTCCCTCTTCTGTGCTCAAGCTAGATTAAAACTTGAGGTTCTCAAATGCAACAGTTGCTTCAAGGAAACATGCAAAGAATTGTTAAAATCAATCAAGCAATTTAAATCAATGATTTTTTAACACCACTCATTTGTAAGTTGAACATATTTACAATTCTTATGATGTGAGTTTTTAATTGTGAAAAGAATATTGGATTCAGAAATAAGAAAATCTAATTCTAAAGCCTGTTCATTTGATTTTATGAATAATATTGGCAGAGTTAATTCTGCCCTTTATATTGGAGGTGGATTGACAGAACAATTCCAGCTGGAAGTAAATCTGCAAACAATATATGGTTGTGTGAATAATCACCATTGACTTGGATTACTTGGGTGATAAACTCAAAAGAAAATGAAGATTCTTTTAAAACAGACTTTATACATTTTCCCCACAAAATGTGCTTTAGTCCAAGAGAGTACTGTTCCTTCCAGGTTTAATAATCTAAAGCAGTGGTTCTTAACCTGGGTGATATCACCTCCCCCGGGGTGTTTCCCTTTTTCAGGTGGGCGATGGAGCCAAAACTGAGAAGGTGGCTGCAGCCGTGGTGTTGGCAGCGGATACGGCAGGTTGATCCATAGCAGCTGGTGCTGGCAGCGGATCCGGTGCCACTGCCGGGGGGGAGGGGGGGCGATGATAACTTCCTCAATGGCTCAGGGGGGGCATTTCTTTCAAAAAGGTTAAGAACCACTGATCTAAAGCAAGGACTCCTACTATGACTCAGTCTCCAGCAAAGAGTCTTTGTTTTCAACTGAATGATAAATGAAGGATAGTTTAATGATTATTATTTCAATCTCTTCATATTACATTGGTATATTTTCCAGGGAATGTATACTTTCCTGGTTAGAATAACCTGTTTGTATCTATGTACTGGTTTGTTTCTGGTAAAGTTTTAAGACGCAAACTCTGGTGCTAGTAACAACTGCTCCATGATTTTAAGAAGCATGTCTGGCAAAAGAATGAGTACTAACTACTCTCAGTCATTACTACTGCCTGTTTGGTTGTGGTGGTTAGTTGGTTGGGGGAGTGAAAGAGGTGCTCTTTATCCAGAGGTTAGTAGCAGGTGATGGTCGGATTCCAAAGGATCTCCTATATGGAGAATTAGTGCAGGGAAATCACCCCAGAGGGAGACCACAGCTGTGATACAAGGATATCTGCAAGCGGGATCTGAAGGCCTTAGGAATAGACCTCAACAGATGGGAAACTCTGACATCTGATCGTTCAGCCTGGAGGCAGGTGGTACATCACGGCCTCTCCCAATTTAAAGAGACTCTTGTCCAGCAGGCCGAGGCAAAGAGGAAGTCACAAAGGAAGCAAAACCAGGGAGCTGGACAGGGGACAGATTGGATTTGTCTTCAGTGTGGAAGAGATTGTAACTCTCGAATTGGCCTCGTCAGCCACACTAGACGCTGTTCCAAGTCCTCCATACAGAGCACGCTACCATAGTCTTTCGAGACTGAAGGATGCCTACTAGTAGCAGGTGCTGTGCAGGTACTGTGCACATGTTGCATATTACAAATCAAATGAGAACTAGGCCAGTTTCAAATTTCTAATTTCACTTGAAAAAAAGTAAGTTTTAGTTTTATAATGGCATAAATGATTTAGGCAAAACATAATTGTCAGGCTATATACATGCCAATAGAAGCTCCTGTCCCACCTCCTTTTTAAAAAAATTAAGGAAGTCACTCAGTATAGAGTGTGGTGTACAAGCCTCCCTAAGGAAAGAGTTCAGAGAGTTCCACAGGCCACTTGCCTACCAACTTTGCGCTGAGGCAAGTCCTAAGACCTCAGCAGTGCATAGTGTAAATACATTAAACAAGTCTGACTTAAATAAGTACTTCATGCAGCACTTTGAAAATACTGAAACATGGGCTTTGTAATTCCTTAGAATTCACAACAGCTCAGTTAGGTAGGACTCTTGATGATAGCTAGTTTGTGGCGCTCTCCACTCTCCTGGATTTAGCCAGACCCTGCTGTTCAAGAGACCAGTCCTTTGTAAGAATTTTTATAATTATTTTTATTAGAAAAATAAAGTTTCATAGAATCAGTTTATATTGCTCAAGCTTTAGCATAAAGAACATATTCAAAGATTATTACAGTACAATAAAATAGCTAATTTCCATTAAAATAAGAAACACTGCTAAGGTGCGCTAACCCCATATCTTTCTGGCAATTACATACGTTACCATCCAACTACGTAACGCATTCCAGAAAGAATCATCATCTCCCAGATCCTTCAGAAAACAGCTTGTAGCTAATCTCTAACACACACTTCTTCCATTTTTTCTACAGTACATTCTCTAACTCCTCCCTTCTTCTTCACACTTCATGGCTGTTAACCAATTAGCTTCAAGGGGATGTAACACCTTCCTCCACCCTCAATTCCCATGAAGATCCAGGTGTGTTAACTCTTCTCCAACTAGCTCTGAATGTTGAGTCTTTCCACGGGCCTCTTTGTTCGACCTTCAGCTTATCACGAATCATGCTGTAACAGTCTTCAGAAAAACACTCTCACACCACTTAGAAAAACACATTCCAAAGTCTCTCAAATCATCTTCACACAAAACCTATCTGACTCCATTTTACATTTCTCTGACTACATATCCCACACTGCTTCAACTCTATTACAGTGTGTGATGGAGGGACTGTTTGTTTTGTTTTTGAAACTGTTAAGTGACTTCCAGTCACTTCCCCCCTACTGCTGGGGCCTGAAACAGGTCAGGAGACAAAATGTATTGAAATTCCTCCAACAACTAGAGGACTTTTTAAAGCCACCCCCCACCCCCGATATGGGATGGTTCTATAAGATCCCTGAATGGGATGGGGGAAGGCTAGACCTCTGGAAGTTGCCAACTCCTGGAGTATAGGTCTGACTGGAAGGACACATCCTGAAACTGAAGCTCCGATACTTTGGCCATCTCATGAGAAGAGTAGACTCCCTGGAAAAGACCCTGATGTTGGGAAAGTATGAAGGCAAGAGGAGAAGGAGACAACAAAGGATGAGATGGTTGGACAGTGTCATCGAAGCTACCAACATGAATTTGACCAAACTCTGGGAGGCAGTGGAAGACAGGAGGGCCTGTCGTGCTCTGGTCCATGCGGTCACGAAGAGTTGGACATGACTTAACAACTAAACAGCAACAAGAGTATAGGTAATGTAGCAGGTGGCCTTGTCAGTCTGTTGTGCCAGTTTATGTCAGAAATAGTCATGTAGCACTTATACAATTAGCTAGTAGGGATGGTACTCGAGCGCAGGTGCCTCCTGCAACAAAGTATAGGATAAGCAACTGTGCAAGTGAAATGAGAGAGAAAGGAGAATCTGCATGAGGAAAAGGAGTAAGGGGGAAGGGGCTGTTCAAGAGGGTATGTGTATTCATTATAACCTTCAGTTTTGCATTCAGTATTCCTTAAGTAGAGGGCTTACCTTAAAGGTGGGACTTAAACTAACCTGAGAAAGGTTTTTCTAAAATTTCTTACTGTCCCTTTAAAAAACCCTCTCAGGTTAGTAACCCCTACTAACTAGTGTTTTTTTTATAAGTTTTCATGTGTCTAAGCACATTTTTCTAGCTGAAAAAGTATGCTTAATACATGAAAACTAATTTTTTTTAAAAAAAATCTAGTTAGTCATATATGTGCTACATGTCTATTCTGTAAATCTTAAATCATAATGATGCTGCATGGACATTTCCTCCCCTTTCTCCCTGTGTTTGTCTGTGTTGCCTAAAACCTAGCTCTAGTGGGTTTCTAATCGCTTGGGAGCAGGGTTATGGGATGAGAGAGAAGAATGGTCCTATTGTTTTGTTGAAATCAATCGGACAAATTAGTTGTGACTCAGACATGTCTGGTCAGTTTCTTTGAGACCTTCCTTAACTAGCTTTTCTTTGGATTTGGACTGTAGTTTCAAATTTAACAAGTTTAAGTCAATCACAAATTTGGGATATGCTAACTTTACATCTGCATGCAATGATGTAAAACATAAGAATAAGATTCAGAGTGTGTAAATGTAAATGTAGCTCAGCTGTGAGAGCCAAAGACCTACCAAAATTTTAATTTACAGGTATATATTGAGTCCTTCCTAGTGATTCACAAAGATCCTAAAGGTAATAGACATTGGCTTCAAAGACTTTAGACCAGAACCAGTAAGTCACTTCTAGAGAGAATTTCAGAATTTCCATTTATTTTACAGGAAGATCTACTCACTATTCAGAAATAGTTGACAGTAGTCTTTTATCTTAAGATTCAAATTACTATTAACAATTCAGCACTGAGCAAAAATCCTGTCCTGTCCTCTTCTTCATTATATCTGATAGAATTATCATTTTGAAATATACTGTTCTCTCAAACAGATTGTCAGATTATATGCTTAATTTGTTGTGTATTATTGTTATTAATTGCTCTTAATAAAGAAGTAAAGATATGACATATGGGAGGCATTGCCAAGTAAAGATTTATCATTGTAATGTTTCACTCACAAAAATATGTCAATGGAGTTCAGGTCAAAATGGTTTTAATGGCCTCAGTCCATTAAATGGCCATAATACTGTGATGTTACACCAGTGCAATACAGTCAGCATAGATCTTGGCCAAGAGTCATGTCAAGTTATAAATTAGTATTAGCATTTGATATTGTGTGCTTTTATGGTAAGCACTGCAGAGATTTCAATTGAATTTATGCCAGGGGAATAACTAAAAAGATTTTGATCAGTATCTCTGTAATATAATTGCAGATACAATTGAAATAGGAATCCTAGTATTTCAGTCTTGGTTCATTTCTCCATCCCTCTGCAAGTTTCAGATCAGCAACGAAGAGAAAAACTAAAGAAAGAAATAGAAAGGTGTGAGAAGGAGATGATATCCTCTAAAAATGTGTCACGATCTAGTTCCCGAGAGAGCAGAAGGCCACTGTCAGCTACCTATAGAAAGGTATGTGAACTTACTATTTAAATGTAACTTTTGATGCTAATTTCTCTGGTTTCTTCCATTTGTTTTCATAGGTCAAAATCTAATTGATTACCGTATTTTTCGCTCTATAAGACGCACTTCCCTCCCCAAAAAAAAAGTGGTGGGGGAAGTGTCTGCATCTTATGGAGCGAATACTGTAAAACAGCGCTCCCCCGGGCCTAGTGGGGGGATGGTGGGGGGAACCTCGGAAGGGTCCGAGAGTGCCTTCCAGAACCCTTCGGAGGCTACCCCCACCCTCCCGCGGGGCCAGTGGGGGTGAAATCGTGACCTTCCAGGACCCTTCTGAGGCTTGGAAAGCCTCAGAAGGCTCCTGGAAGCTGGCAATTTCTCCCCCGCTGGCCCCATGGGGGGGAGGGGGAGCCTACAAAGGGTCCAAGAGTGGCCTTCAGGACCCTTTGGAGGCTCCCCCCACCCCCTGTGGGGCCAGCAGGGGCAAGATCGCAACCTTACACAACCCTTCTGAGGCTTGGAAAGCCTCAGAAGGGTCCTGGAAGCTGGCGATTTTGCCCCTGCTGGCCCTGGGTGTGTGTGGAGGGAGCCTCTGAAGGGTCCTGGAAGGCACTCTTGGGCCCTTCCGAGGCTCCCTCCACCTCCACCCCAGCGGGCCGAAATTGCCAGAATATTCCTGTTTTCCTCCCCTAAAATTTGCCTTCCCTTCCAGTTAATTCCTGTCCTCTTTCCTTTTTTTTCTCTCTTTATTTGATTTATTTTTATTTTTCCCATCTTATAGAATCATCTAATTAATTAATTGTTATAAATTTTTTAGAACTTGTTATCATTTGTTGTAAGCCACCTAGAGTGGTCAAAATGACTAGATAGGTGGGGTATAAATAAGTAAGTAAATAAATAAATAAATAAATAAATAAATAAATAAATAAATAAATAAATAAAATGAGGTGCGTCTTATGGAGAGGTGCGAAAATTATGGAGCGAAAAATACGGTAGTTGCTCTGTTGTAAGTACTAGAGCATAAATAACAATGGTGAACCATTAGTTAACAAGTCACTCACATCTGAGAATGGCTTGTGACTGAGGCAGAAAGTGCCTCCCCTTACCTTTTGGGAAGATGTGTTCTCTATCCCAATCAATAAACTACCCCAGCTTGTATCTCTGCTCATGCAGTAATGAAATGTTGCTGTGCAATGAGGGAAACAAACAGCAACTCATTAATTAGTGGTAATTTTGTATTATAATTTACACCATTGCCCTTATGTCAGTGTAACTAACCAATAGGATTCTGGACATTTTGTAGTTGAACAACAACTTGATGAACTGTTAGTGAATAATTCAGAATTAATAAGATAGGTTTTCCTTACTAACCATGCAATGCTAATTCAAACATGTGTCAGCTGTGCGTGGCTCAGAATTGCAGGAGCCTCTTTTGTGGACAGAAATACCCTTGGGTCGACAGAAGCACCATTCTGCCAGCAGAATCATCAACTGCCACCTGAAATCGGACATCCAGTTGACAAAAATGCTCAGTTGGAAATACCTGTCATCATTTCTTTTCCCTTCATCTGCTCAAAAGTTTCTTCAACTTTGGGCAGGGGATGCCAGCCCATGTCAACCCATTTTTTGAAAACACAGTACTTAAAACATCTTTAGTCTAAACATAGCCAGTTTAGAATGATGAACCATCTGCTAAGGATTGGGAAAGGTGAGCTTTTAGACTCCCTTTCCACTGCTAGCACTACTTCTCTTGGATAGTGTGTGGCAGCTGCAGAAAATGCATATTCTGCACCTATTTGCACACGTTGCCCCTCTTCATCTAAGGATATTTGTTAAGAAAACAGCACCCATGCTAAATATGGGCCTGTACAGATCAGAGCATAGGAATGCAAACGCTGGATAGATGTTGCACAGCTAGGGAAAGCCTCAAGATGAGACAGCATGAAAGAAGGGGACATATGCTGTAGCATTTTCGTAAGCTGAAAGGACTTAGCTCTTTGGTATGATACATTATTTGTAGTCAGTCATTGGCATCTCCAGTGAAAATGAGAATAGGTAACGTTCTGGGAGACCTCTGCCTGAGATTGTGGTGAGCCCCTGCCTGTCAAATTCTGCAGTGAGTAGGAAATAGCTTGACTTGATATAAGGCAACTTCCTGTGTTCTAGTGACCATGCAGAGGATAATACAGGCCAAGTGAAAACATGTTTAAGACCCACAGGTTTCAGTGAGAAAGATTTAAGTGCATATGTAAATCATTGACATATATGGGACATAGTATTTCCCTTTGGCTACGTTTTCCTTTAATTTTTCTTATAATTTATTATAAAGATTCTAGGATAAATGCAATTGTCAGATCAATTGAGCTATATGGACTTTGATAAGTCAGCCCTTATGTATAAGTTCCATAAACTCAGTGAGCCTATTTTAGTTGGGACTTACAGTTGGAATTAGCCATATACAGACCAAATTTTCTCACCTATATTAAGATGCTTTTTTCTTAAGAAAAAATTAGATGTACAAACTTTGCGAAATTAATTGAACATAATCACTACACAGTACCATTGCCAATTTTGTAAGTCAACATTGTATAGAAACTGAAAAAGCTTTGTTAGCCAGTAATTGGAGAATTTCATTTTTATAGCAGTCAAAGAGAGAGAGAAAATGACAGGATTGATTTTCTGTTAAAAATATGCACAAGGGTGTGCTTTGCATCCAGCTGCTGTATAATGCTGGTCATTAGCTGGTTGATTCTTGCATGACTCTTTGATGACTGACAATGTGAGTGGTAACATCATTAGGCTTACTGAGGAGGGGGAATCATGCCTTAGAATATTAGTCATAACAGGTGGTGGAGGTATACTATGTGTGGCTCATTTTTTGTATCGTATTGTTTTATTTTGAAGAAAAAGGAATAATTAAAGTTATAATGTTCCATCTTTTAGTCACTATTACTGTCTTCCATCATGGTAGTTGTCAGTCTCATCTTTTAGAGATATGCCTTTATGCTTTTAGATAAAGACCTCTGCAAGATGTAATAAGCTGTTGGTTTGATAGTAAGGTGGGATTTGGAATGTGGAGGTTCCTTTTAATACAGTTGTGGGAATTTGAAAATAAATATGCTATCTACCTTTATGAAATGGGAGATGATATTTTAAAGTCTCCCAGTGCATAGCAACACACTAAGATGATTAATGGCTTTTCCTCAAAATGACATTCTTGTGTTGAAAAGCCTCACCTCTTTCTCGAACATGTAGGACAACTGATGCTAGGTTATGAAATCAACATTCTCTGTCTTTCTGATATTTCCACATGCCAGGGTACTGTGTGTGTACATTGGCATTCACTTAAGGCCATTACCTCTGTATCTTAGGCATATTGAGGAATATGTCTATACCTGTAGTTCTCCTCTTCCTTTGAATGTTCCTGTGTACTCTGCTGTCAGTGTTGGTCTATTGAGATGAGCTCTGTTGTCAACTGCAACTCCTTCCATATGCACCCACCCAGCAGTTAAGATCTAGCCAGGGACCCCTTTTGAAAGAGCCATCCCTCAAGGAGGTAAGAGGGATGGCTTGTAGAGAAAGCGCCTTTTCGGCAGCTGCTCCCAGACTATGGAACTCCCTCCCAATTGAGATTCGTCTGGTGCCGACGCTGATGACATTTCGGCGCCAGGTCAAAACCTTCCTGTTCCAGAAAGGTTTTAACTGAAATAATATCAACTTTGTGTCCTGATGGCAATTTTTAGAGTATATATTTTATTTATATTTTAATTTTTGTAAGCCGCCCAGAGACCTTTGGGTAGTGTGGGTGGCATATGTAAGTTAAATAAATAAATAAATATCTCTTGCATGCGAAATTTAGCCTACCATAGATGCAGCTACATCTGTACTGTCTCAGAAAGTAAATAGAACCTGCCACTAATATGCTGGCTCTCCTTCATGGTCTCTGTGACCCACACTAATGGGATTCTGCATCTGTACAACCTGAAGTTGGTGCTTCAGAATCCAAGGCTGTTGCATTTTGGCAGGAGCTCTAACCTGTCTATTGCACAATACTGTATCATGTGGCTCCCCCCATTTCCTCTCCAGTCTGCTCTTTCATGTGAATGATCAGCACATTGGAAGAGCTTCCTTCTCTGATCGTTCTTTGGACCACCACAGACCTTCATTTTAGTTCCCCTTTTTGTCTTCCCCTTTTTCGTTTCTTCCCCAGTCCTTGCCATCATTGTCATCCCAAACTTGACCCCTTCCTGATTCTCCCAGTTTCCTCTTGCTTATGGCATCTGCATCTTTCAAGACCAGAGATCTAGTCTCTGACAGCCATTCCTATTGTTGAGATCATTCCCAAACTGGACCTGATCTTTTTCCCAAAGATGGTATTAGCATTTCACCTGTCTCAAGACTTTGTCCTTCCGACTTTCTATCCAAATACTGTATCTAACATTGAATGAGTATTGTATGCGTCAAATAGGCATTGAGTGTTTTCATTTTAATTTTATGTCTCTAGAATGGCTCCATTTCCCCATAGTCTGCATGTTTTCCTTTGCTATGGCTCACTTAAGATAAGTTGGCCAGTCTCTGCTCAAAATGGATAACATTTGCCATTAAATGTTGCTATGAACTGGCTGGAGCCCCCATCCCACAACAAATCTAAGCTCACTCTACAAAAAGAGCAGCAACATCAGCTGCATTCCTGGCAGGAAATCTATTGCTGTACATCTATAAAACGACCACATGGTCTTAACTAAGAACTTTCATGTAGCACTACAGATTGGACACCAGAACAAGGAGGGATACATGTTTCAGCCAAATATTTAATTATATTTTTCTGTCTTTATTTTTTCATTTGAGTTTTATCTTCCCATCTTGAATGGTATTATTATTGTTGTTTAAATTGTTGTATTAATGGTTTTTATACTATTTTATTGTAAGCCGCCCAGAGTAGATGTTGTCTAAATGGGCGGGGTATAAATTGAATGAATGAATGAATGAATAGAATCAAAAGTCACAAAACAATTCCAGTATAAATCAGTACTGTATAAACATTTGCTGAAATTATGAACAACCAGTAATGAAGGGATAACTGTGTCAGAACTATCCACTTCATTTAGGCATGATGTGCATCCCTTATTCACAGGCAGACACCTTTTCTTGGATAACTCTGACAAAATCAGCATCTGTATAGATTAGTTCATTTTCAACATTGACTTCTTCACCTGCTTTTCTATTTTCTTTTTCCCTTTCCTTTTAAAAGTGATATTCATTCACATTCTCTTCATGGTGATGAGTTTGGCATCTCATTACTGCTAATCTTCCATGCATCCATGAGTTTGCATTTATTAGCGTTGCCCTAGTATTTAGTCTTGCAGTAGCATCTACAATTCCACTTAATGTGTGGTAATATAAGGCTAGATGTGATCTCAGTATTATCTGTTTAGTATCTCTGTACCAAGTGCTTTATGTACTAATCTCCCATGCTTTTTGCAGTAATCTCCTGTGCAAATGAGCAAATAAAACATCATTTACATCAGAAAGACACACGTTACTTGACTGTCCTCCTACTCTAATTTAAACTGGCATAATATAATCATATGGAATGAGCGTTTGCATTACAAAATACATATATTGAAAACGTGAGTCATGTCAAAATTTTCTCATCATCATTGCCCAGCTATTCATGCAACTTGTCACAGTGTTTTTATTTGTTCCAGTGTGTTCCTCTTCGTTATTGTGTTCCGATGCAAAATGTACATTATTCTGGATTATGGATGCACACTAATTGAGCTGTATGAAAAATAATTCATTTAAAAGAATTCTTGTTAGCTACAATTTTTGATTAAATTGTAGTAGCCCATTTCAGAGTTCTAACATTCATTAATGTTTCTGATTATAGGTATCAGAGAGTGTTACTTTTGGCTGAGCATGCGCACCAGTGAGCTTAGAACTCATGCACATTCCTCTGTTTGGTCTGAAGCTGGCAATTTTTCAATAATCATAATTAAAATTAACCATGGTTTGAATTCAGATGATATGGCAAGGTGCACTTAACCCCCAACAGAAATGGTGCTGTCCAGGTTAGCTCAGAAAATGGGGGGGGGGGTTGCATTTCTGTTAACTGCTACTAAGATGTGCTTCGACGTTCTAGTCAGACTTGAAGAAAAAACACATTGTGCTACATAACAATGAATGAAGACAATCTTTAGACTTGTTGCCGCATTCCCTCAGTGTCCTTTGTTTGTTCTCCCTCAAACACAGGTCCACCTTCGGACACGATGTACTATTTTCTCCCTTTGCATGCTGCCACCAGTGGATCTTTATCCACCCTGTACCAAATATGTTTCTTAGACCCAGGCTGCCAAATATAACAGGTTTATTTATGGTTTGATTGGTAAATCACAGAAGTAAAGTCATAGATGTTCTTTTATTGTTCAATCATTAAACTTGGATAGGATTACACGTTTGCTTGTTTGTATTCATTCACATTAGCCACTGTAACAATATTTTATGACTATCTATTTTCTGTTACTTTAATCTCTTATCTATTCTCTAACACACACCAACTTTCCAATCTCTGTCTTAACACTTCAAAAACTTATTTTCTAATCTCCAACTGTCCTTCTTGATCTGCCCCTCCTGTCCTGCCATAGGCTCCTGCCCTAGAGCTCCATATGACGGACAGGCGTGACTCATCTTATACAACATGAATTCTAAAAGTTTCTTGACTGCATTGGGGAAAAAACACTGTGCCCTTGGCATGCTGCAGTTAAAGAGGTTAATCAAGTCTTGTCAACTTCTTCTGTTCAATAAAACATACTCTATTTGTGCAGATTGCAGTATTTTTTTTAAGACTAGGGTAGGATGGCTATGCAGACAGTCAAACTTGAGAAGCGCTGTGGTTTGTGCTGTCAGGGTTATTCAATAGTGCCTCACGAGAATTTGTGTGATAGATATATACACATTTTGTTGAAGGTTAGCTGTTCCATATGTATCTTTCCTCTGGTTTCATACACTGGTATAAATTTGAGGCCACAGAAAAAATCCCCAAGGAACACCATGTGTTATCTTATTCTAGTTTACAGTTTTATGTATATCCTAAATGACTTCCTCCATTTCAAAGTCAATCAAAGGCTTCAAGAGTGCTGACTGCCTCATTTTCTTTTTAACTGACTTCAGTCTTCCCAGGCCTGCTGATTCTCCACAGCATATAAGCATTCTTTCCCACAACTCAAACCTGTTTACTTTCTGCCAGGCTTATGCCTGGTTTTAGAGTCAGGTGAAGAGAAAATCCAATAAAAATGGATGGATAAATTTTCGGACGAGCAGTCAGTGAATATACTATTCTTTTCTTAGCTGACTCTTCCCTGTAAATTAGCAAGGCTATCCTTTGCATTGTATATATTATACATTCAGATTGTACTTTTAATGTTTATTTTGTGATATATTTTCACATTCTGCTTTCTATTCTTACTTCACTTGTTTCTTTGTATTTATTAAAAAAATATTCAGAGTCCAATTCCTAGGTTGTGCCAGATCAGAGAACAACATGATTATATTCTTCTTGCCCGGCAAGCTGCCCTTAAGAAGGAACAAGAAATAAACTAATTTTCAGACCTATAGACTATAGTAGTCTTTTTAGATAAAACTAGCTGGAAATTTCAGTATAGTTGAAAAGTACTGTATCTGCATTTTAATGGTTTTTGTTTTATCTCAGTAGGAAAAAAATAACTGAAGACTAGAACTAGAATAAAATGGAAATAAAAAATTGAATAGGGCCAATACCATAGTGATGAGATGTAGGTTCTCTATGACATAATATATAGTAGCCAATTTTAGGAGGTTAGATTCCAACATAGCTTTGAATACTTATTGGGGCCACAAGTTTCAGAATATCTCTAGCCAGTGTGACCAGTGACTAGGAGATTCTTGAAGAGGCAGTCCAAATGAATAATTTCTGGAAGCTGTGAATTTCAGATATCACTTCCCCCACCTTCACTTATTATCTGTAAAGGTTACTTTTAAAAAGACAAGAGAGATCCACTGAAGGTCAGAGAGTACCTTGAAATGTTGCATTCCCCATGAGGACTGACTTTTTCATAGCAAATTTCCATCATCACCAGAAATTCAGTTAGTTACTGTAAGTGTGCAATATAAATGCACCCATACATAAAATGAGGCCCTTTTCTGCATGCCTCCATCTTAGAGATAAAACAGTAATCTGTGTTTTCTTGGTGCTTAATTTATCATATTTTCACTGCTTAAGAGGCCTTTGGTTAGTGTGGGCGGCATATAAATCAAATAAATAAATAATGAAACATGTTTGATTTCCCCAAGCTTATAATGGTTTTTATTCTCAATTTGTTGGGAGGTAGTAGTGGTGGTAGTTTTGCTGTAATGCTATGAAGTTCTTAGTTTAATAGTTATTGTTGTCTCTTGAATTTTTCACTACTTGTTGCATTTGTAAGTAAAATAGTAAAAATACCATACTGCCTTTTAATTATCACCTGAAATAATGCTTTGAACCAATACAGAACTACTTATGTGAATAAAATAAAGGAAATATTGACATAAAAAGTATTCTATCAGTAGGAAAGGTTTGGTAGTTATTTCACAACTGGCATCTTAAAAATAATCCCTTTTTAATGTTTCAGTTGAGGATTCTGCTGTCAGATGCAAGTGCCATCTCTTCAGGGCATCCTCATTAAATTCCTACTAAATAGAAGTATGCTGTCCATAGTTCTCCTTATATATAATTGCTGCTCTAAAGCATCCTGTTAGGTGAACCAAAGTTGTTTGCTCATATAGAATCCAGGCTTTTGACAGCCTTGCCAAGCCCACAGCATCTAAAAGCAGAACAAAGAAAGTGGTGTAACCATATTTTGTGAGTCTTTCATAAGCAACTGGTTAGATAAAAGGATTTTATCTAGAACTACCAAGATCTATGCTAGATAACAAAAGTGGTGTAGTTGCTCTAGCATGCAATCAAAACAATGGTGTCAGCTACACCATTGTTGTCATCTAGCATAGATCTTGATAGTTTAAGTTAAAATCCTTTTCCCAGTTCCCTTGCTCCATTTCTTTCCATGGTTCCACAAATCCTGCTGGGTTCCAAAGTTTGTAAACAAAGATGAGTTCAAACAGCAGTTGAGTAACATCTATTCAGAGGATTAGAAAAGTGTCTGGAGTAACATTTCTGGTGTTTGAGAGGGCAGTAGGGAGAGAGAGCAGAATTCCAGATGCTATTTGCATCTGTCACACAGGATTGAGAGCAATACATACCCTTTTATTAACTTTTTTGAAATGTGCCTTATTTGCTTAGTACTTCTGTAATGTGGATTTCAATTAACTGAAGCAGCGATAGTCTTATGCCAAAACTTTGTCCTTTTTGGTCATCCCTTTCCCTCAGGATTCATGGCAAGCAGAAGGCAATGTGGGGTTGGCCACATGTGCACCAAGTGAGGAAAGATATATGTTGGCTACTTCATCAACTCCAGAGAGACAAAGCACTATGTCACAGAGTATTGAAAAACCTAGCAAGAAAGCTGCTACGAAATCTTCCAACATCTCAGTCTCAAGCTTGAACACCAGTGCATCAAGTCTACAAAGACTACATTCCAAAATTTCCTGCAGCTCTTCTTCAGATAGCTTTACAAGCAAACATCCCCATAAAGCCCAGAATGTTGAATCCAAAACAAGCAGTGGAGATCTACTTGATAAGCATTCTGAACATTTTACCAGTGGCCGGCAGCCATTCACTCCACGCACTTTAAAATCAGATGCTAAATCCTTCCTTTCACAATACAGATACTATATGCCAGCAAGACGAAAAATACAGGATCTTCCGACACAGCAGGTGGAAGCAGAAACACAGACTGAAATAAGCAGGTAAAAAAAAATTAAGTCACACCATGAACTTCTCTCTGATAAAAGTTGCATCTGACTCTTGGTTTATACCTGGTCTAAAATTATATGATATGAAGGATGACTTAAATGTTCTTGTATGCCAACAACTTATTGTTATATCCAGTATATGTTCACATCTGTTCACATGTTCAGTAAATGTTGATAGTGCTTCCAATTCTTCCTATTTTTCCATGCAAGAATGATCATCAGAATGCTTTCTAGAAAGGTTACTGTGAATCAGGTTTCCTCTAACATATAAATGCTAGTCTACCTCTGATATACTACAGAGTAATGGAGAAGCAATTATCCAAGGCGCTGAATATTGAAACATGCACATTAGAATGAGATATTAACATGAGAAAGTATATAATAAAGAGTGTTATATAAGGAATAGGACATTGTTGCCAATGTGATTGATAGGCTGAGAACTGCCATGATATAACAGATGTCTTTGTAAAATAAATATGTAGAAACTGCATATAAATATACATTGTAGTGTGTGAAAATATCAGATAACCCAATGACTGCCCACACAATGTAAACAAGATTGTAAAGAAGCAACAGAAGCACTGCAAATACATTGTATTTGCTTCTTGGTGGTGAGGTGATATACTGTAAGATAGTGTCTTTCTTCAGTTTCTGTTACCCCAAGATCAGCCCCCATACTGTTTTTTAAAGTCCTTCAACCCTTTGGAGTAACATGGGAGGTGGATGCTGAACAGGACAGGGAAAATCAGAGAAAGTCGTTTTGAACCATTTCTATGGCTCCAGCAGAATTCCAGTGAATACATGTCTGAATTCAATCTGTTGTTTTCTTATAACACCTATAATAATCACCATTTTCTCCTCCTCCTCCTCCTTTGCCTTTTTGGTAATGCTGGAACTAATTTTATCAGTTTATTTGACAAAAAATGCAAAATCATAGACTGCCTCAGAGATAAAAGGACAAACAAACTCTGTCTGGCAGGTGGGGGGGTCATCAGCTTCAGTTTTCTTGTCACGTCAGCTGGTTAGTTGAGAGATACAACCCTCTATTGTGAATCTCAGACGACTCAAGACTTGCATCTTAAGAACTGCTTAGGTTGACATGAACACCTAGTGTCATTTAACTAAAAGCAGCACAGACCACAATTTGACCTGCATCCTATTCTTAGATTTGACATTAGAAGCACAGTTAGCTCCTTGAGGCAGGAATTCTATATGTGTGTGCATGTGGGGTGGAGAGTCCTTGTGCAGTGAAATGCCATATGCGTTGATAGTATTTGTATTAATAAACGAATCACTAGTTAATTTGCCAAACATTGCTACTATCGATCTGCCATGAATTTCAGTTCTTTCTTCATTTCTGTTTGAATGAACAAAAGACAGATGGCAGCAGTATTGGCAGTGAATGATACTATTTATGTAGGGTGGACATCCTCTGCCCCAACAGACAGATCTGTTTCAAATCTAGTATTGTTGATTCCTGTCATGCTCTCAAAATCATTAGTGTCAGTAGGTTACAGAGTAACTCAATTAAGCTGGAGTGGTTTGGAAGGTTGAGGGTACTCTGTAAATCCATTGCATGTAATATTGTGCAAGATAATTATGGGCAGGTACTGCCAGTGTCTTTTAAAAGCTGTAAAGCTTATATTAACTGGCTGGATAGCTCCATGAGTCAGAGTACCTGGCTGCTGAGCCAAGGATTGGCATTTGATTCTCTGCCGTGCTACCCAGGAGAAAAAGCAGCCTGTGTAGCCTTGGACAAGCAGCGCAATGCCAGAATTCCATCACAAGGAGAGACAGGTAATCACTTCTGAGTATGTTACATCTAGCAAACCTTAGGTATACCATAAGTCGAAATCAACTTGACAGCACATAAATAGGGTTCATATTAGTACTTGTCCTAACTCAGGGGTCCCCTGCCCTATCTGTGCCATAGCAGCTATGAATATCCCCTGCCTTTCACTATTATATGACAGTTACCCTCTACCCTCAGATATAAAAAGATTAGCACTCATTTGGATTTCTCATGCAGCAGTGATCACCATGAGTGTATTTTTCCTTCCATCCACAAACTTGAATTGTGAAAAGCATCTGAAAGAATTAACGTTTCCATTAGGCTTTTCTGGAAGTTGTATGGTAACATTTTGTGGTGTGTAGGTGCAGGAAATGTAACAAACTGTTCATTTTGCAAGATCTGTCTAATATATATCTTTTTATATTTTGTAGTTTTCAAGTTGACTTGGTGGGATCTGAAAGAAAGCATACGGCTGACTTTCAGAAGGTCGTAAAAGAGGTAATTCAAATGATGATTAGTGGTATTTATATTGGTTTGTAGACTGATAGTAGAAGTATGCTGATGATGGATCACCAAAATTTATCTTTGTTATCTGCAACTTCAGCCTGGGATGTTAGGCATTGTTTATTGAAAAGTGTTATGGGTAAGTGTCTGATTTCAGTAGAGTAAGGTATTCAGTAAGTGCAGAGCTGAAGTCCTTATTTGTATGCATTTTTCTTTTTTATTATTATTATGTTCTCAGATTGAAGGACATCAATATTCTTGTTTTAATTATATTAAACCTTTCATTTATGCCCAGCATTTACACATGTACAAGTACTCCATTGCATGAGCAGTGGGTTTTTGCTGGAGCTTGTGTAAGGAGCTACTCCATGTCTTCTTGTGCAAATATAACCTTGACTGAAAACAATGGTTATGATTTCTACTATACACAAATGTGGGGGCTTTGCAATGGAATGTTAAACTATGTCCAGCAGTGAACAGGATACTCACCTCTATGTTTGAATATTGTAAACAAGCTAGTGTCGTAAACATATTGGATTGTAAACAGTGATCACATTAGCACAGAGGTAGACCACCTTCTTTCTCTTTATGACTACATGTTGTGATGTTGCGCTCTATTGAGGCTACATGCCAGTGGGTGTTCTTGCAGCCAGAAGTGGAGCTGAGTTAATAGAGGGTGTGGTCAAGACTAGCTTTCTCTTCCCCCCACCCCCAAATTCCATAGGTTCTTCCAGTGCTCACGAACAGGTTTGGGAGCAATGAAAATGGCATACCTTGATTTCTACAATAGCAAGCTCTGGCCAGTTAGTCAGAGCCAGCATAAGAGATAGCTCTCTCTGTCACCTATATCAGAGTACAATTCTAATGTCTCCATGGCAGTCACTTGTTTAAAATTCACTAGCTAGTGAATTTTCCAAGGAGTTAGTGCTTCAACAGAACCCCTTCTCAGGTACACATATCTTTAAAAATACTATTTTCTTATCAGAGCCCTGTTTCTCTCTCAATAGTTTTCCACTTTGATATCCCTTTCTCTTTTTACTGGTAACACAGGTGTTTTCTGTGTATTACAGGTTGAAGGCACTATTTCTGCCCATGCAGATAAGCCTGATGAACTGAAAGCTGTTTCTCAGTTCTTCTCACCAAGGTATAGGAATTTCTGAAGCATTCATCTTTTCTTCCTTCCTTGCTTGTGATGCTGGGCTTCTTACCCTCCTAGTCTGTGAAAGCCAGAAGACTGTCTTTTAAAAGTCTAAAGCCAATACATGATATCTTAACAGAAATATTTGTTTTCCTTTTTTTAAAAAAAATAGCAAAATTGCTAGCATGAAAAGCAAAATTGAAAGATGGGAAGAAACCTATTTTGTAGTTAAGTTGAGAGTATGATCAATACATCAATTATTAGCAGTAAGCTTGGATCTAGTATTGAATCAGTATTATTGGTGATTTCTGGTTTCCTAGGCACATGGAAAGGAAGTTGTATACCATCCAAATACATAATGGAAAGGATGCAGCTACTTTTCTGCTGGCAGAAGCATTCCCTGAACTGAGTTCTGCTGAAAATGTTCCTGTCAGGAAAAGAGCAGAGAGGGCAGTCTTTGCCAGTTTGCCACTCATTCTGTACCTTGTTGTTCCAGGCCTCATCTCACTCTTCTTCTGGAGAGCCTCCCAAATCTATCATTTACATTTAAAAGGAGACCTAGGCAGAGGGAAGAGTAAAGCAATGGAGGCCTCCACTGAATCAAAAGTTTCCTGTGGGTAGATGTCCTATCCATGGTAGGACAGTAGTTGTGGTGGATGTGGTGGTGGTACTTGTCGTACTTGCAGATTCTGGTATCCACATGTTTTAGTTAAAGGGAGGAGGATGAATAAGCCCTGGCTCAGAGACAGAAACAGGGAGATGGATTGGTATGCGTTTTCAGAATTAATGCCTTTGAGGTTTGGGAGAAGTAGAAATTGGGCATTGGGGAGGTATGATTTGAATAATATCTACTAAATGACATTAGAAGAGCATTATTGTGATTTGACCAGAGCATCTCCCATGTGGATTGTTTCATCAAGATCTGTCCGTTATATCACTAGCAAGGTTCAGTGTGAGGCCCTGGCAAGGATATATCTGACTTGCCAGATTAGGCAAAAGCAAAGCAAATTGTGCTGCTTATATACCACCCCATAGCGCTTCAAGCACTCTCTGGGCGGTTTGCAAGTTAATTATGCAGGTTACACATTGCCCCCCCCCCGCAAGCCGGGTATTCATTTTACTGCCCTCAGAAAGGATAAAAAGGTGAGTCAACCTTGAGCCGGCTACCTGGGATTGAACCCTGGGTTGTGAGGACAGTTTTAGCTGCAGTACAGCAGTTTAACCACTTGTGCCATGAGGCGTTCCCCATACTGCATCTTCTTGCATTTATTGAACCACTCTCCTTGCAGTTGTATTCTAATACCAATATGGCCATGGTATTTTAAAACTCAAGGTCACCTATTTAGAGGAAGTTGCAGTTAATTTGGCTTTTCAACAGCAATTTACCTCACATAACTGAGGTCTAAGTCCTATCCCTTCCCACCAGCCACAAGGGCAAGACTTACACACAGGAGGAGTTTCTGTCATCAGTTCTTGCTCTGTCTGCATAAAGGACAAAAATGCCAGCATAAAATAGATTTAGTAGGTGCTCTGTTCTGCAACATAAGAGCTGTATGATAGGCAGGCTGTAAAATCAGTGAATCAAAGACCTACTTGTGCAGCATTTCCTATTAGAAATCTAAAGAGACAGTAAATTCAGGGCCTTATAAAAGTCAATGCACTTTTGTAAGCTGAAGGACAACCTTTGAACCATCTGTAAGACCATCTATTAAAGAAGTTGTCCAGAGTTATCTACCTCTTAACCACTGCTTATTGTGGGCCTGGTGTATGAGATTTCTATGACCTTTAAAGAACTAATCTAGCCAATCATGTTTATTGTGTTCTGCATAAAGTTTCATGAATTCTAGTGAATTTTTCTGTCTTCACAAAGACTCATGTGGAACATAGTTCTTTGGGGCGGGGGGGAGGCAGGCTAGAGATCTTTAGCACTAAAGTCTCATTACCCTTGGCAAATTACAATTCCCAACATTATTTGGGGGATTGATAAGAGTTAGATGATACAATGTTACTCATATTGGTCTCTGTGTCTGGAGTCCATGTGTGCATAGGTCAATGCCTTTTGGCCTTGACCTTAAATGTTCCGCACCCTACTGTCTCTTTATGTCTATGCATTCAGCTCAACATCCAAAAAAGGGGGCCTGTGCACCTTCCCTACTCTTTACATGGAGACAGACAGGACTATAGCCTTGTATGTAACTGCTGTGAGTTTGAAGTATAGAACAGCAGGCAGCATCTGATTCTGCTATTTCTCTCTCCTACAACCCTTTACACCTATAATGGTTTAGGATGACTTCTCCATCTTCTGTACAGTCCCCAGCTGTGAGAAGATTCCAGGCTGAGTGAGTAGCATTTTTACTGCAATGTTAACAAACATTCAGAAACTACAGAAGAGGGAGAGGGAGAGTGTCCGTCTTTGTCAGAATATAATATAAGGAATAGCATAGCAGTATTGGGCATTGGAGGGGAGCATCTTCTGCCTGGTGGTGAGGATGAAGCATGCCCACTCGTTTACCACAGATGGATAAGTGCCATCTTGAGATCACATGTTCCCTCTCTGATCTTTTGAAATGAGCCAAGAAAGTAGTGTCAAGAAGGCTATTATTACATAAGCTTTGCCACTGAGTTGTGATAAAAAAAAATGTAAGAGCTGTGGTGGGTCAAATGTAAGAGCTGTGGTGGGTCAGACTAAAGGCCGGTATGGTCAAGCTTTCATCTCTCATAATGGCCAGCCAGATGTCTATGGGAAGCTCACTATCCTGACATGAGTGCAGTAGGGCCTTCTCCACTATGTTCCCAGAAAACTGGTATTGAGAGGTACACTGGCGCTGATACTGCAGGTAATATGTAGTTATCATAAATGTTAGACACTGATAGCCTCATCCTCTAAATACGGTGATTATTTGCTTTCTTTTTCTCCTCTTCAGACTGGTTCAGTTGATGGGAAATGTATTCCCAACCAAAGTCACCTGTGCTGTGGGAAATATTCTGATATTCTTAAAAGATTATGTAGGAACACAATTCTTCCTGTATTAAAATCACTAATGGAATATCTGCACAGAATGTCAAGTAGCGGGATGGTTTCAACTCCAAGTGATTAATGCTGGGTACAAAGGTGTTGTGATGCTCAGCATCCATCTCTCAAACCAATTCTTTCCTTTTATTGAAAGAAATTTAGCAACACTTTCACAGATTTGCATGCTGGTGGCTGATTACTCTGCTTAAATGTTTGTGTATGTACTGCATACATTTGCATCTGCTTGTTACTATTTAGACATCTGAGCAATTAAATTATTTTTGAGTCTTTTGAAATGTTTTGTCATGTTTAATTAAATACATTTTAAAATAAGAGGGTAAAACAATGAAACAATGTCTAGCCTGGTAACAGTAAAATAATAAGAAAATATCATTTAAACATTTATTATACCATTCCAGATATTCTGGATATCATTCTGTATTCCACAGAAGGATGCTACACATTCTTATCAATATGAATAATAAGTGCATGGCGCAAAGTCAATTCTGACATGGAAGCAATTTAAAGGGTTTTGTTGGTAATGAGTTCTCAGAAGTGGTTTACCATTCCCTTCTGGGGTGCTGCAGTGGAAAGGACTGAGTAAATCTGCATGCATATTGCATAGTCTGAATGGCAACACAGTGTAGAATTGCTGGATAGCTCCATGGTTTAAGTATCTGGCTGTGGAGCCAGAGATTGGGAGTTTGGTTCCTGTGATGGACAGGTCAGGAACCACTCCTGTCCATCACAATGAAACCATGATTCAGGAGCCAATGGCTGTGCAGAAGGGGTGGGACTGGGCATGTATGAGAGAGTGGATGACAGTTGAAGAGCAGTTGGAGTCTGAATTGGTTGGAGAGGATTTCAGTTGGGGTCTGTGTTGGAGTTTCAATTAGAGAGGATGATGAGTTAGGGACTTGTGTTAGAGAAAAGCAGTTTAGGCAGTTAGGATCAGCCTTGTGTTAGAGAAGAGTAATAGAGAGATAGGGAATAAGAAAAGAAATTAATAAATACTTGAAGTAACATGATTCTATCTAAGCAAATATAAATGTTATAAAAGCACAGTTGATTCCATGAATAAAATAAGACCATCCATGATTTACTTTACATGATTTACTTGTGAACACTTTAATAAACATTGTTTAATTGAATAACACTGATTGAAGAATCCTATTTGATATAGTGAGGAATATCTCCTCTGGTGGCAGCAGAAAAGGATTGAAAAATAAATGTCACACCCGAAAGTGAACCTGGGTTGTGTGGAGAAACAAATGGGGGAATAGGTGCATGACATAAAGTGGTGAGCAACTGTTGGGATTCAAATGAAAGCCAGTGAGCCATAATAAAGTGAAATTTATTAGGTTGGCCACGAATGAAAAAGAAATTCTCTGAGTCTAAGAGACTTGGTTATCAATAGCCCAAGTGAAGGAATAGGGAACCCTAAAGCTTAAGGTGAATAGCTTGATAGGGACTCCTGAAAGTGTGGAAAGACAAAAGCAGGAAAAGGACTCTGAGGAGATTTCTATACTGTGGTTAAAAGTTTACCTCAAGCTGAGAGTGTGAGGACCAAGAGGGCTAGCTTTAGATTCCCAAAGCTCTGAGAAAAGGAGCACTGAGGGGACCTAGAAGTGGAAGCCAAGGTCTAAAAGGGACAGCTGAGGTGAAAATAACTCAGGTTTACAAAAGAAAAATATTGCTTGGAAAATCTGGGTGTCTGTAATCTGGGTGTCTGTAGACCAAGAGATACAAAGTAACAGACATAAGGCACAATGAGGCTGAAGCCCAAAGATACAATGTAGCGATTTTAAGCTGCCAAAAGAAAGCTACATAGTTTAAATCTCTAACACAGGAAAAAAGAGGTCATTTTAAATTGAGGTTTGTATACATGTATTGGAATTGGTGAGAAAACAGCTTACCAATTTAATAAAAATAGAAACTGTTAGGTATGCCTTCCATGGAACTTGCTGAGAGTCAGATTTTACCTCAGGAAGGGGAAATTTCAGACCAAGAGGGCCAGGAATATGAGGACCCAAGGGAATAGGAGGGTGCCTCATGGAGAGAAAACTCCCTAGAGTTTCTAAAAAAGAAAATAGAGAAAGAATATGAATTCTGGTTAAAACAATTAGAGAGATGGCCATGGAACAAAAAAGAATAAGAGAAAGGGCTGAACAAGAAAAGAGACAGCTGGAACTAGAAATAAAGGAAAAAGAGAAGCAACACTGATTAAAAATGAAACAATTAGAATTACAAATCCAGAACTATAATAATAATAAATCAAATCCTGAGGGAAATATATCAAAACCAGCTGAAAATATAAAAGAAATAAGAAACTCAAAGTATTCTGAGAAAAAAAAATTGGACTGAAGGCTTGGGATGAGAGAAAGACAGAATCCAGAGAGTGCCTCAAAGATCAACTGACAGTTGGAAGCCATTTTAGAGAGAGACCTCCAGAGCAGTACCAACAGAAGGGTAAAAGCTTTGAAGGAAAGGGAGACAGAACCCCATATAATGAACAAAGACATTTAAAACTTATTTTGGTGTTGGGAAAGCAGATCATTATATTTCAAATTGTGAATTCATTAAAAACAAAGAAATGGGACAACAGAAAACAGGGGAAGTTGTACCTAAAAAGATGTGCTGTATACAAAGGCAGGATGAAAATTCTAAAGTAAGCCAAGGTGGTGGTGACTTAACTGACAAAACTGTAACACAGGCTCCTCTAGCAGAAATTGTCCCCTGTTATTACTTTAAAACTAACAGAGAATTGATGGAATCAGCTGAAGAAAATATTTATATTAACAACATCAAGTATCTAGCTTTGAGAAACTCTTGTTCTCAGATAACTACAGTATATGCCATGCAGATATTATTCCAAAGGAAGATATTATTCCAAAGGAGAAAATTACAGTTAAAGGAATTGGAACAGAATGAATTAAGCTACCAGTAGCTAAAGTACATATAAATTATCAAGGGTGGACTGGTAAATTTAAAGTAGCTGCTTCACATGAGATCCATATGCCTTGTTTAATTGGTTTAGATTTGATAATTTATATAAAGACTGTTATGATTAACATACACTCACAGACAGAAAAGATAGAAAATCTTTATGATAATAGTGAGGTTCCTGAAGAAGTTATAAGTATCATCCAATCACCTGAACTTGTAGGAGGCATAGATAGAATAAAGTCTCAGAAAAGAAGTTTTAAACCAGAACAAGAAAATGATTTTACTTTGCTACAATCTTGTAAGGCAGTTAAAAAAGAACCAGTAATTTCAGAATCCCCTAAAAGATTCTTTATAGATAGAAATATCCACAAACCAATGGATATCCCTTTTGAGTGCAGAGAGATGTCTGGATTTGCAAAAGAAGTTTGGAATAGGATGAGACATGTTAAAGGGGGTTTCATATATATAAGCTCACAAGACAGTCAGAACACATCCACTACAGTAACTAGAGAACATGGGGGAGAAAAAAATTTGCTGGAAAGTCAGAGAAATAAATGGGTAGAAGAAAGCTGCAAAGGTATGAGAGAGCCCAATTAAAGGAGTTTTAACCAGGAGATAAAGGAGAATAATAACTTAGAGGGTTGGTTAAACTTAGCGGGAATGTGGCAAGTGCATGATCTGCAACTCTTCCATTTTAGGAAAGGTATGTCCAGCCTTGCAATAAGTCTCCCAAAGTGACTAGACCACTTACTTGCAGTTATGTGTTAATTATTTATGGCAACCACTCTCAACCTTTTTGGGCCGTGGCCATAAGCACAATATGGAAGAAATGTAGGATGAATCTGGATTTTATAAGTCTCATAATGAACCTTATCAGGTGGTCTGTGAATAATTATTTCCAGTCTGTGTCCCCCCTTCAAATGTACCAGGGCTCCCCAGGGGGGGCATATGGCCCCTGGTGAGAATGGCTAATTTATGACATAATGGGGAAAAGGAGGGGCCCAAACTCTGCAAAGCTTTCTTACTTGTTCTCTTGTTTTCATTTTTTGGCCGAAAAGTAACCAGGCAGTGACTATTGCTACCTCCTCCTTAGTCAGAAAAAACACTTCTGTGCATCTCCTGCAGATGCAGTGGCATTCTTGCAGGTAGCAACCCATCTGAACAGGAGAGAATGTGAGGAGGAGACAAGGAACATGTATTTGTTCCTGGTCCAGAGCATTATGGTCAATGCAAGACTGATCATAGAAGTCAATCTCATCTGTTTAAGAAAAATGTTTCACTGTTAACTGCAGACATGGGCTTTGTTGGGATGGAAGGCTGAAAATGACTTGCCTGATTATAGGGTGACACACGCACAGGTATCATCCAACAACAAAGTTACCCATTTGTTTCCCAATACAGTAGCTGTTCCAGTCATGTGTATCTATCACAGAGATTATTCAACTATATCACATATAACAAACCAACTTGCAGTTTAATCCCACATGTCTCTTTTGATATACAGTGGATATAAAAAGCTTACACACCCCTGTTAAAATGTCAAGGGTCTGTGATGTAAAAAGATGAGACAAAGATAAATTATTTCAAACCTTTTCCCACCTTTCCTATGAACTGTACAACTCAGTTGAACAACAAACAGATCTTTTAGGTGGAGGGAAGTAAAAAATAAACTGAAATATGGTTGCATCTGTGTGACCCTCTTATAATTGGTGATGTAGCTGTGTTCAGCAGTAAACAATCACATTCAAACTCATGTTAAGTAGAAGTCAGTACACCCCTGCCATCATTTAAAGTGCCTCTGAGGAATCCCAAATAAAGATCAGCTGTGCTAGTAGGTCTTTCCTGAGATTTTCTTAGTCACATCCTACAGCAAAAGCCATGGTCCACAAGAGAGCTTCCAAAGCATCAGAGGGATATTATTGTTAAAAGGTATCAGTCAGGAGAAGGGTACAAAAAAATTTCCAAGGCATTAGATATACCATGGAACACAGTGAAGACAGTCATCATCAAGTGGAGAAAAGATGGCACAACAGTGACATTACCAAGAACTGGACTTCCCTGCAAAATTGATGAAAAAACTAGAAGAAAATTGGTCAGGGAGGCTTCCAAGAGGCCTACAGCAACATTAAAGGAGCTGCAGGAGTACAGTGGTGCCTCGACTTACGAACTTAATCCGTCCCAGAAGATGTTCAAGTTCATAAGTTAAATTAGCATTTCCCATAGGAATGCACTGAAAACCGATTAATCCATTCCGGCTGTTTTTTGTTTGTATGTCGAGGTGCCGTTCGTAAGTTAAAGCATTTGTTCCCATAGGAATGAATGCAAAACTAGTTAATCCGTCCTCTACCACTAGGGGAGATTTTTTTTAACCTAAGGAAAGGAGGGAAGGAACAAACACTTTTTAAACAAAAGACCTTTAAAACCAAGCAGCTTTAAACGAAACCAAGTACCTTTTAAACCAATTTTTACATTTTAAAATTACAGTACCAGGTAGTACCAGGCAGTCCAACGTCCATTTCCCACTTTCCTGTGATTTTTTTGTTCGCAAGTCGAAATGTTTGCATGTAGGGGTGTTCGTAAGTCGAGTCACCACTGTATTTGGCAAGTACTAGCTGTGTGGTACATGTGACAACAGTCTCCCATATTCTTCATATGTCTGGGATATGGGGTAGAGTGGCAAGACGGAAACCTTTTCTTATGAAGAAAAACATCCAAGTCTGGCTAAATTTTGCAACAACACATCTGAAATATCCCAAAAGTATGTGGGGAAAAGTGCTATGGTCTGATGAAACCAAGGTTGAACTTTTCAGCCCTAATTCCAAAAGATATGTTTGGCGCAAAAACAACACTGCACATCACCAAAAGAACACCTGTGGGGATTTGGTAGTTTAGAAAAAAATTTTGTGGTTGTTTAGGGATACATCAGTGATGTTTAACATAATCATTATTTTAGTATAATCATGCATTCTCCTGTGATTCTCCTTATAATCATCCCATTGTTATGTGATTCTCGTTTTGCGCAGGCGTGGAATGCCTTAAGACTGATAACCACACGACGCCTCTATGGCCAAATTCTTATCTTATGCTAATTTTGCTTGTTTTGCGTGCTTAATAAAAATGTCTGGGGTGAAGAAGGTAGCCATCTTCTTCTTCTTCTCTACCGGTACCTGAATACTAACAAGATAAAGTCTGCAGTGTCTTTTTTATCAGAGAGTTCTCTCATCAACTGTTGCCGGGCAGGCCTGGTAATAATTCTCTGGCTACTTTCCCACAAACACCATAACCCAGAGTGAAGCATGGTGGTGGCAGCATCATTCTTTGCAGCTGTTTTTCTTCAGCTGGGACAGGGACCTTAGTCAAGGTAGAGGGAATTATGAACAGTTCCAAATACCAGTCAATATTGGCACAAAGCCCTCAGGCATCTGATAGAAAGCTGAACATGAGGAGCCGAACATGTCTTTCTGCATGACAATGACCCAAAGCATACATCCAAATCAACAAAGGAATGGCTTCACCAGAAGATGAACAACGTTTTCGAATGGCCCAGCCAGAGCCCAGACCTGAATCCAATTGAATATCTGTGGGGTGATCTGAAGAGGGCTGTGCACAGGAGACACACTTGCAATCTGACAGATTTTGAGTGTTTTTGCAAAGAGTGGGCAATATTGCCAAGTCAAGCTGTGCCATACTGATAGACTCAAACCCAAAAAGTCTGAGTGCTGTAATAAAATCAAAAGGTGCTTCAACAAAGTATTAGTTTAAGGGTGTGCACACAAGTGCAACCATATTATTTCAGTTTTTCATTTTTACTTCCCTCCACCTAAAAGATTTCAGTTTGTTGTTCAACTGAGTTGTACAGTTCATAGGTCTCATTAAAGGTGGAAAAAGTTCTGAAATGATTTATCTTTGTCTCGTTTTTTTACATCACAGACCCTTGACATTTTAACAGGGGTTAGGAAGCTTTTTATATCCACTGTACATCAAAAGAGGCATGTGGGATTAAACTGCAAATTGGTTTGTTATATGTGATGTAGTTGAATAATCTCTGTGATGGATACATATGACTGGAACAGCTACTGTATTGGGAAACAAATGGGTAACTTTGTTGTTGGATGATACCTGTGCCTATGTCACCCTGGAAGAGGCATTCTGTCATGTGAAGAGAATGCCTTTCTTAAGATGATCTTGCCATCTACAGTTGAATTAATTGTTTTTAAAAATCCTGTCATTGTTTTAGCTAATCAAAATTTTTTAAGTGTATTAACTTAATGAATTAATCAGCTAGACCAGAAGTAGACAGCAATGAGAGATCTAGGCTATACATTCATATCTAAAAGATTTGGAGGTGTGCACCTGCTCCCATTAACTTCCAAAGGTCAAAAGTTGTTTCTTGTGTGTTTTGGGGGCACAAATGGATTTGCTGAATACCCCCAAGAGTAAACATATTGAATGTGGGGAGGTTGGAGTATTCTGGTGTACTGAGCTTTACATATCAGTATATGTGGCCTGTGGGTCCCTCTTCTGGGTTATGTATTACAAGCTGGTTAGGGAAAAAGGAAGAAGGAAGGAGCCTGTGGGTTATGTATTACAAGCTGGTTAGGGAAGAAGGAAGGAGCCTCAAGTATTAATGAGGGAACTCCAGTTAAGCAAACCAAACCAAAGCAAAAGCAAAGTGTACTACTTATATACTGCCAGTATATAAAGCACTCTCTAGGTCAGAGGTCCACAAACCCTGGTCCATGACCCGGCACAGTCTATCCAGGACCGGGCTGTGGACAAAGATCTCCTACCCCCTGCAAGCACCCCCCATGAGCACCGCCATGTGCATGTGCACGAGTACATTCCATGCACTGTGCACATGCATGCAAGCAGGGCCTCCCATGAGCACCATCGCACACATACACGTGAGCATGTTCCGCTCCCTGTGAACATGCTGTGCACATGCATGTGAGCGCCCCTAAGTGTGAGTTGCGCATGCACACATGCAAGTTCTACCCCCCCCTGCAGGCATGCCACACCCACCTCAACCAGTCCACGATTGGGAAAAGGTTGGGGACCACTGCTCTAGGTGGTTTACAATTTAATTATGCAGGCTCTACATTCCCCCCGCAAGCAAGCTTGGTCAGTTGACCAACCTCAGTAGGATGGAAAGCTGAGTGATCCTCAAGCCAGCTACCTGGGATTCAACCCAGATGATGAGCAGAGTTCTGGTTGAAGTATAGCAGTTTAGCCACTGTGCCACAAACTTCTTACCAGATTGGAATTGGCTATTCAGAGTGATAGCCAGTGTTATGCTGGAAGAATAGAATTCATAAAGATGATATCCCCTTTCCTCTACTTCATCTGATTGCTTCTTTGTGTTCCTGAAAAATGCTGACTAAGAGCTAGATGAACAACTTGAATGGTGTGGTCAGCGCTCTCGTGTCCTGAATGGAGAGAACAATCCCTGGAAAAAAGGTAGAGGCCACTGGTTTGGACAGAATGCCAGCTCATGGAAAATGCCTCCTCCCAATGTGGAGGGATTCCACCTTCTTGGCTTCCTTGTACCACAGTCCATTGGATTTGAGGAGGTTCATCCAGGCCTTGAGGCTGCTGGGTGAAAAGTTGAGGGAGTAAGCTTCCATGAACACACTTCTGCCATTGTGACATTTAATAGTACCCTTAGTATTCTCAGTACATCAATACAGCTGGGTTTTTTTAACTAATTGGTGTCCTTTGCTTCTCCTGATTAACCACCTTCTGATTTTCACCCTGAATTTATTAGTTACCAACCTATATATTACAAAACTGTAATTAATAGCTTTGTTTGGAGACTGAACATAGATTGTTTGTTCTTTATGCAGAGAAGAAGAACTTTTGTATTTAAGTTTCATCCAGGATATAACAGATGAAATTCTCAGACTCGGGTTGTTTTCTAACAGGTTTGAGTTTCTTTGCCTTGTTAATTATGAAAGTGATTTTATTATTATGAAAAAAATGCTATCTATGTTTTAGCTTATATGAATTACACAAAATGAATGCCTCTAGATGCCACTGAAAAAAATGCCACTGTTAAAAAGAATTTTTGGAGGGAGAAGGAAAAGAGCAGACTAAAATCTGTGTTGGATTATAGTGAGGAAAAATAATCTGCTGGTAAACTGCAGATCTTCCAAGATACACATGTCCCTATTAGGCACAGTTTACAATTTTTCCTGTTTTCTTTTGCTCACTCGTTTTTGCTTAATTGTAGTCAGTTTGAGGCCCATTTTGTGCAAAGAAAGGAGGGTACTGTATAATCATAATATAGACCTATTACTATTGCTTTCATTTTTAATGCTTAATTTTTAATCAGAATTTTAAAAATACTGGCAATAAATAATCTTTTGTTTTTCAGAAAAAATGCATGCAATCTTTTAAGTTTAGACAAGTTTGGCATTTTTAGAATTCTGATGTTTGAAGAATGGCTATTCTGAGTAACAATTCAAAAATATTTTCATTTTTTAAAGCGCTTTGGAAAGGTTGTTTGAGCGTCACATAGAACAAAATAGGAACCATCTGGATGAGGTATGTCCTTTATATTAAAGACTGTGCCGTAAGTCTTAGGAATAAGAACATGAATTCCAAGAGAGTTTCTGAAGTGTTCCTTTAAGAAAACATTAACTGATAGAAATACAAGTGTTGGTGAATCTGTTTTTCTAAATAACAGATCTATTAGGAGAAGCCAGTTGACTAAAAGGAGCTCTACTGACATGACAGAACGTTTTCCCTCTCTTGTGTCCCCTGAAAATCTGCTCTGGAAAGCTCCGCAACTCTCTGGAGCAGATGTTTAGGATGTATAGGGGGAAAACAGAGATCTCCCTTCTCACCATTTCACTGAAGTATCAGGTCTAGGGGGAATATGTCTTCTGGAATTTTAGGACTTCCAGTTCCATGATTTGCCCAGAGCCCCTCAGGCAGAAGTAAGAAACTGAAAGCCCCCAATCCTCTCTACATGCCATTTCTACCTTTCTGCACTGTGGAAGTTCCAAGGAACACTTGTAAGCTGCAGAAGTCTCTAGGAGAGGACGTTCCATTGGAGGCTGTCTCTGTACAGTCTAATGCATGTCTGGACTTGCTTGGGAGATTTTTTGGACTGAAAGTCTCTCCTTGAATCAGATCTGTCAGTAGATTGCACTCATTGGCCACATTTACACATTACGCTATGCTCTCATGCTTCTGCTTTGCTTTTTACTTCATATAAACAGATAAAATAAATAAAGAGGAGTAATTTATAGATTCATCTAAAAGTGGGATGATAGTTTGTTGCACTCAAACCCTCAAGGGCAGGTCTGGGCAAAGTGCGGCCCGAGGGCCACATATGGCCCGCGAGTCACTCCTGTCTGGCCCGTGGATGGTTTTGAACATCAAAACCTTTTATAGCTTTTTGTCTAAAGTTGATTGCTTGTTTATCTTTAACATACCACAAAAAACTCTTTAGTATTTGTGAAGATTAACAAGTTTAAAGTAAAAACAATCATAACATCACTGTTTCATTTTATTTTTAAGTAAAGTTGGTTTGGCCCTCGAACACAGTTCAGATTTTTCATGTGGCCCCCTTGTAGAAATTAATTGCCCACCCCTGCTCCAGGGTTTGTAAGTTGTTGTTTTTTTTAATCCTGTTTTCAAATTTGTGTTTTCCTGACTTATGGGGACACAATAAATATAATCCTAGGTTTAATGTGATGATAAACAGTCCCTGCTTGATTTCTTTTATGTACCCATCTACAGAGGGAAGGACATCAACTAAATGCATGAACGGGCTCCTCCTTCTCATTGTAGTTCAATAAACTAGAGTTCCTGAATTACTGTTGTTTGAAAGCCGTCATTCTCCCTCAACACATGCACACTTGTTTTGTGTATATACACAGTATAATCTCATATTGTGAATTCTTAGTAAGTTGCAGTCCTCAGATCAAAATACAGAGCAAGCAGTTTCTTGATGATACTGCTCTTTACTTGGTTGACATTGGGGGCAAGGAGGAAACAACCCATTGATTAATTAGCTTTCAAAAAAATTTCAGAGAATTGAAAAATAAGAACAATTATTTATTTTTTAAGCATCTGCGTTATTATTTTCTAAAATTATGTTTATCAAATGTGGTAGTCTTTCTTCCTTTACATTTTAGACTAAAATGCACCACCTGCTGGAAATTCTGAAAGTGGACCTGGGATGCAAGAAAGAGGAAAAATCTACAGGAGGGTTGTACAAGTATGCTTTACCAACGGATGAAAGAGCTGAGCACATCCAACTTGCCAGTGAAGTTCAAAGAGAAGGCAAGCTGACGAAAAGCAAGGGTTTTTTAAGAGCAATAGATTTAATAGCAAACCAGCCTCCTGCATTAAACAATGAATGCCAAAAGCCAGAGAGCCCAAATGAAATTGTCAGAGATGTCAGTGACCCAGCCTGTGTTGAGCCAAACCCGTCCGATCTTCCAGCGACTGATGAAAACCTGGATACCTCGTGCACGTTGCCACCAACATGCAGTTCATCTGCATGTGATGCTGACTTTGAAACAAGTGAATCACTGAAGGGAGTGGATGAGCTCAAAGAAAGCTTTGCAGAATTACTTCCCCTCTCCACTTACAGTGCCCCATAATAAACAGTGAACTACAAAGCACCAAGAGAGGCAGAACACCTGGTTAATAGTGCAAAGATCCGAGCTTTGCAAATTAAATAAAATGCTAGCAAATCATCCTTACAATTTTTTTTCTTATCTGGATGCACTCGCAACCTTTTACAAAAGGGATCAAGGTATTATGAATCAGACTGTAACAAACAAAGTGCTAATACACTGTAGTGGGCAGTACTTGTAGTACAGGTAATGTAACCCCAAGGCATTAACTGTTGAAAACACTGCCTAGAGCTTCATGTGTGGACATATATGTATGTATGTATAATAGACAAGTGTAGTTATTTATAAGATATATTTATAATAAATGCACATAACATTTACAGTAGTAAAATGGAGTCTTTGAATTAATATGCACTTACATTTTAGTCCCTTAGGAATAATGCATACACTCTGATCCAGCAATTTCTTATAATTGTATGGACTCCAGTTCATAAGAGAGCTTTTTAAAGCTTGGCTGTCGTGTCCCATAATGGAGAAGGTTCCAGTTCTGCTGTGCAAGACCCAGACAGCTGAATGGTCTTAAAGAGCTTTAGAGGAATGTTGTTGGTGTTGTGGGCCATCAAGTTGGTGCTGACTTATATAGAGACTCTAATAGGGCTTTCAAGGTAAGTGAGGTATTTAAGGAGTGGCTTTACCAATTCCACACACCCCAGTGAGCTTCTATGGCTGAGCAGATTTAGACCCTGAGCCCTAGTCCTTGACTTGTGAGAATGTCTTCTTAGTGGGGAAAAAGATTATTTTTCATCTACTGGACAGATGACCACAGCTGTGTTAATGGAAGAATTCTATTGCACTCTGTTTACATAGGGAGCATGGTGTCTCCTTCACAATTACTAATAATAATCTCAGCTAAGTAACCAAAAATAACAATATCAGCCATTCACAAGCTGCTCAACAAGTCTTTCAAAGCCTTTGCCCATTGCTTTTTCATCATGTAAAGCTATCTTAAGTCCTGAAGATATGTGGCACTGTAAATAATACCAGGTTACTATGTCTAGGATGACAGATGTTTGGTTTAATTTTGGGTGTTTGTATGCCACTCATCATGCCAAAAGATTCTGAGCGGTGTTCCCACCCCACTGTACAAAATGTTGAGCACCTCTTGAAGGAAAAATAGAATAAAAACTAATTAAAAATGTAGGAGGGGGCAAAAGAGTAGCTATCTTATGTAATCAAGAAATGCTGTCCATCTTCACACACAGGTCCTATTATTCCTGGAAGAACACATACACACAGAGAGGTTCCATTATTTCTGGAAGAAAAGCTTCCATTACCAAGTATAGCTTTCTAGTTGCCATCAACAATACACCACTTCTGTGTACATGCCTGCTTCAGTGGACTCTTAACTATTCAGTCTATTGATAAAGACTTCCCACTCATATCTAATATATTCTCCAACCTAAAACTATACTGAGCAATTCTATGGAACACACTTCAGGCATGACAGCATGAGATATGAATAACTTTTAGTGATAAGCGACTAAAGCAACTAGTGTAGAAGCGCATCAAATATTTATTTCCATGGCAAAAATAGACTATGATATAATTCATTTCACATATATTACATATGAAAGTAAAACAAGCCTTTATATCAAATACAATTTGTACATTGTTTTACAAACTGTTTCAATTGTACAAGATTTAAAGCTGCAGTGATTATACATTTTTTACAGTATGGACACAGAGAAAACAGCACACATATTAAAAAATAGTTCAACACTAGAAAAATAATACTTCAGTAGGAGATGTGCTATTGTTGAAGCAAAGTCCTGTATAAATCCCTGTATAATGGTGTAAAAAGATGAGAGAGAGATTAAGTGCAAGATCCAATACCTGTTACTTACAGTGTCTTCATTCTGAAAGCTCTGGCAGAAAACCCAGTTAAGGCCCAAATGTTTTTCAACTGTTTGAATTGCAGGATAGCTTGGAGCATCAATCCCCACCCCACTATCCCCAAAAAGCTTATAATTCTAGATAGATTCATGTACAGCCTTAGTCATGTGAGAATTACTTCCTTGTAATCCACTCCAACATCTGTTTGGTACGGTGGACCCACTTTGACTATGCATGCAACATTGTTCCCCAAATACAAATGCAGCCCAACCTTCACTGTGGGTAAGATGTATTTTCATTTGTCTTATTTGTTTCTCAAAGTGCAGCTATTGCAACCTGTTGCACTGGTTTGCTGAAATCTAAATCCTTAACATATTTGTTATAGCATATTATAATAACTGTGCTCAGGTCTTTAAGCTTTCATAGGCCTGCTGTTTTTATTCACATGCCCAGCAAAACAAGAACGAGACATTGGAAAGTAACCCCCATATCACTTTAGTAGCATATGAAAGGGGGGGGCCATACATTCCCAAATCTTTTAGCTGGCATGGCCATTGGCTGGGGGTGGTTCTGAGTGCTGTACTGCCCCCCAAAGCAACATTTTGTAGCTCTGCATATGAATACAGGCTAACACCTTGCCCCAAGTCACCTGATGAAGTCAGCAAATATTGTGGGTCCAGAAGCAATTGGGGAAGAGAATAATGCTTCAGTATTGACCAAATTCCCAGTCAGTTATGTATCTGGCTGCGGAGCCAGAAGTTGGGAGTTTGATTCCCCACTGTGCCTCCCAGAAGAGCCAGCCTGTGTGGCCCTGGGCAAGCTGCAGACCCAGAAAGCTCCCAGAAGCACTCTGGAATACTTTCTACCTAAAATAAAACCTGAAAAGAGTCGCCGTCAGTCAGAAGTGACTTGACAGCACATAATAATTAAGAAAATGGGATGCACTGCTTTTTGTCGTTCCAGAATTCTTCTAGAGGCTCCTTTTCAAATGGCCTCAAACCTGGTCTACATGTTTTAGGAAAGCCCAATGAACTAAAACGGCACATAACATTCCCTTGTCAGCTCAGGCTTGTTTTCATTTCAATGCGTACTTCAAGACAGTCTGGTGGCCCTACAGTGATTGAAGACATAAAAACCTAGCCCTGATATCCAGCAGCTTTACTAATTAGTTCAAATACCATCTTATGTAGTACTATGTACTGTATCTTCTTAGGTGTGGGGAGATTATGGCACATCCTTTTCACAAGGCACCATCAGGATAACATTGAGTGTGGGGAACAAAATATTGTCATTCAAGTTCTCTGACTGGCTATGCTGAAATTTGAAATGCAGCTCCCAGAAAATGGAGCTACACTAGATACCAAAGGATTAGTTTAGGATAGGCTGGAGGAAGAATGAAGTGAGGAATTCCTGGACTTCAACTTCTCACCCCTGCACAGCAATTGGTTCTTGCTCTTGGTTCCGATCAAAGTTCTACAACATTCCACATTACAGCTTGCAGTTGCACATTCCTCCAAATGGAGAGACATAAGGGAGAGCTGAAGACACTGATCCCTACAGTATTTTGACAAGAATCACAATCCAGAACGCTCTCCTGTGTCTCCTCAAAGTCTCCCACATACCTGGAAAACATTCTTTTCCCATCATAGCAGCTATCATGCTGTCCTCACAAACTTTCAGAGTTTTCAAAAGTAACGTGCCACACAACTCAAGGACCACTGCACATCTAAGCAAGGGACTGCTTCTCATGTTCCTTGGGCTGTGTCAAGGTCAAGCAGTGCTATGCTGCATCCTTTGAGGTTTCTGAAGCATTCTTTTTACCTGCTAAAATTGGGCTCCTAAAAACTTCCTTCACAGCTTAAATGTCTGCTCTTCTTGACCTTAGCTCTGACAGCAGCAACATAAACATAAATTCCTAATAATAAAACTGGTCAACTGCATTGGTTGTTTGGCTGGTCACAAGGTTTGTCTTAGCAAGGTGTGCTTAACTGTGGACATGCTTGGTCTGACTACACATTGGCCTAGTTAGGCTGTCATCGCACAAATAGTGTAATTTGTGGAAGCAAACTGCCCTGCATTAAAAAATTACTATTAACAGTATCTGTTGTAAAATGAGTTGTGTGACTTCTTAACTTGGGGCAATTTGACTCCAAATCTTACAACATTTGCATAACTATGCAAGAGGATTTTGGCCATTGTATTACTACTAAGCACAGTATATAATAACCAGAGGTAATGGTTAGAGAATTGGAAGAGGTAGCCATGTTAGTCTGTGCAAGCCTATCAGGCAAAAACAAAATAAAAATAAATACAAACTACAGTGGAACCTCTACTTACAAACTTAATCCGTCCCAGAAAACGTTTGTTAGTTGAAACATTCATAAGTAGAAGCAAATTTTCCCATAGAAATGCAGTGAAAACTATTTAATCCATTCTGGCTGTTTTTCATTCTTATCTAGAGGCGCCGTTTGCAAGTAGAGGCATTAGTTCCCATAGGAACTAATGCAAAGCCAGTTAATCCGTACTCTACCACTGGGGGGGGGGATTTTTTAAAAAAAATTTCTTCTTTTGACCTAAAATGAACTTAGGTCAAAAAAGGGGCAAGAAAGGGTTTTTTTCATTCGTATCTTGAAGCTCCATTCGCAAGTAGAGGCAAACTTTTGCAAACTGAGTTGTTCGTAACGTGGATTGTTTGCAGCTAGACATTTGTAAGTAGAGGTTCCACTGTAAATGTATCACCATAAAGACTATTATACTTTAATCTCAGCTTTCGTGAATCTTTTTGCACACAAAGCTTACATTAAAATACAAGTTAGTCTTTAAGGTGTCACCTTTTTTTCTTTTTGCCTAATACAATAGCATAATATATCCCAAGAGGAGTAACTGAACTCAATGAATTCATTCTATGTGAGTGGAGGGAAATTCAATCTATATTCAAGGCTCGATTCAGTCTTTTTCCTTGAAGCCCAGTAAGCAACCTATGATGGGGAAAGATAGGCAAAAAAGAAGAAGAAAGAATTAAACACTGTCTGAGCACCTGGCACTCCTATTTTCCCAGCGAGTTCAGGGTGAAAGGTGGCTGGACAAATGTTGGCTGGACTGAATTGCATTTCTAACATATATCTAGCCAGAAACAACCAAAGGAGAGGATTTAACAAAGTAAAAACATCTGAGAATTTCAAAAGGCATATTAAAAACTTTAAGGAAAAAGAATATTTGTTTACTTAATTTTTTTCTCATGGTAAAGGGCTTCAGGGAGCTTGGGAGCTACAAAGAAGGTATCTGGGCACTAACTCCCACTCCTCCTGGTTCTACAGATTTTGATTACATTTTCACATAGCCCCATGATAATGTTTTTTTAAGGTATTGTAAAAAAAAATCACTCTTCTGATTGCCATACTCTGCATACAGAAGAGTTCCAAATATGTCCCTGATAACTTTCAAACCTCCCCATCTTCTTGTACCCATCCCAAAAAGCTATCTTCAAAATGCAGCATTTTCAGAGTTTATGAATGAAGTTGCAGACTGAAGGAGTTTAGACAGAATGCCTCAACTTACCTGAATCTAAGCTACTTTTGATAAAAGATTGGCTGGTTTACAGATTCACTCAAACTAACCTTTCAGACCACTTACAAATTCACACAATGTAAATTAGCACCACCAATATCAAAATCTGTCCAAGTTTTCTGCCTATTTTTCTTGAGCCAGCTCAAGAATTTGCCATGAAGTCTAACTGGGCTCTCTAAGGCACACCACAAATATTCTGACAGGATTTAACCTCACCTCACTCTGAACTATATAGCCCTTAAAATAATGACATGGCCAAAGTTTATGAGAAAACATTATCAGAAGCCTGGACCTCAAAAGACAGATTAATCTGCTTACTGGCATAACAATGTACAAGGATTCCAAGGGCACAGGCAGAGGCGTTTTGAGACCTTTTTTAAAAAAAATCTTTGTGATATTCACAGACACTGCAAGGTACGTAGTGCTGTGTCTTAAGTGCTTGCAGATGACCAACACTTTTTAAACAACTCCATTTCTGGTCATAAGGAAGTGGGCAGATGTCTCACATTCTGCACTTCCTAATCTTATCTGACCACTACTGGAGGGACTACTTCTACAGATGCCACCCAGGAAAGGAAGGAAATAGGTCCAAAGGATACATGGAAATACAATTCTCTGAACTTCCTGATATGAATGAATGGATCAGTGAATGAGTCAATGAATCAGTGAATGACAGGGAAATACAGTAGGACCACTGTAACTGCTGGATCAGCACCCGTGGTTTCACTTATCCACTGCCTGAAAATACTAAGTTTTAAAAAAACCCAGAAATGCAAATTTCAAAAGATGTATTATCAGAACTGGCCCCTAGAGGGAACCAGAGACTATACCATAGAGACAGTTTGCATATCCATTATTTCCAGTATCTCGGGCAGGGGACTTGGAACCAATCCCTAGCAGATACTGGTCCAATTGTATAAGCAAAATACTGTATAGCAATACTGCAGACTCTCTGCTGAAACAGACAAACCCATCACCACAACTGCACTCTTCTGACTCACATACAGCTTCCCTCACCACCTCTCAGCAAGGCCCTACTTGAAAACCAAACCCATCTCATTATAAAAAGCTTATCCATATATGTACTGTATGCATGTGTGTGTGTGTGTGTGTGTGTGTGTTTAGTGAGTTAATTAGCTAAATGACAACAAGTACGCTGATTAGTTCAACAGATTGGTACAACTTAAATGTTTCCCTGGAGAAATAAGACCCATTATAGTGCTTAAATATAATTTGCATCCACTTTGACTTCAACCAGCAATAGTAAACAGTCTTCTAAATTAAACAAAAAATACTGAGGATACTCTTCATATGTTGGTAACTTCAAAAACCTCTGGAGAGCTATACAACATCCTGCAATACTTCAGCATCCTTTTATAAGCCTAGAATTCTAGGCAACGATGCCCTTCTCTTTAACTCTGGTGATAAAAGAAGTGCTAAATGTAATCATTTTTCCCAGCTTTTTGTCTCACAGTATTACCTACTACATTTCCTGAAAGACATCACTCTTGTTTATTTCATGACACCTCAACCTGTACAACCCCTTATCACTTGCCATTTCTTCCTCTTTCTTTTTACATGACTTCAGCCCCCTCTTATATTCTCTATATGGACTGTGCAGAAGACTGCGCTGTTTGTAGTTTTTAGAAGACTTTTTTCAAACTCCACTAAATACAAAACTATATATATAAAAAATGGCAATCACTGTGCATATATATAAAAAAGATATAGATATGTGTGTGTGCACAGTGATTGCCATTTGTGACCTTTTGTGTCTGCAGGGCAAACAGCATCCCCACACAATGCATTTGGAGGATTACAGCTTCAGGGCTTTTTCCTCTCTGGTTCTTGAAAGTGGGATTTTATAAGATTAGAATAAAAAAGAATGCCATCCATTAATTTCAGCAAGGTGCTATGCTGTCTTGATCGGAACAGAGTGCCTTTAGTACCGCAGTCTTGAAGACAATGACTACAGCGTAACAGTATATATATATATATATATTTGTATCTTTTCAGAAACCACACTCATTCTTTTTTTGTTCCAGCCACAACTGCACACAAAGAAAGAGGCCTCTCAAAGTTTATCCCTGCAAACACTGACTATGGTGGATCCTGGACTGGAACTCAGCATTTTCATTCCAAGCCAAGAAAAGACTGCTCCAGTGGAAGGCAAATTTCTGCTTTTGTAAACTCTTGCAAAGAACGAGTCTTGGACATCGAGCCAGGAGGTGCAGGGAGGAGGTTTATATAAGCCTTGAACTTTTCAAGAACTGAATGAGAACTCCATAGACAAACGTGTACTGGCATAAGGTCTGAACCATCATCATCCTCTGTTGCCTCAACATATCCAACATTCTGGGGATATCAAGGGGCTAGAAAAAGGAAAGGAGAGAGCAGGGAAACAATTACTCTTCATATTAAGAGGTTCCTTCTTGTGAGACAAATCAGGAGCGATGGGATGGGGGGAAGATGCTCTCAGTGGGACCCTTCCCTGGGTGTGCCCACTTTCTAACCTCTGCTGTTGCCGCAGCATGATTGCTTGGGGCTCAGTCTGTAGCAGATCACAGAGGGAAGGGAGAAAGGAGAAACAAGTCACGGCTGCTCCTCCTTGTTCCTCTCATTGGCCACCCCCTTGGAGAGGGCACGGCAATGGCAGGAGCATCAAGGAGGAGAAGCAGAAGAGGCACAAGAGGCAGCAGCCTTCCTCCTGAGCCCACCACTGTATCGGCCTTAGCAGATGCTCAGTTATGCCCACTTCTGAGCTTCACCCCAAAAGAGATGGAGATACACAATTATACAGATTATGTCTTAGATTCCACATTAAACAGATGTGGCTCTCCAGATATATTCGGCCTATGGATCCCAGTAGTCCCAGCCCACATCAGCAATCCTGAGGATTAAGCATGCTGAAGGCCAAAAACATCTGGGGAACCTCAGTTGCTCATGGCGGTTCTGAGATCTGAACAGAAGGAAAATTTCCCCTTTCCATCTCTCCCAGCAGCTCAGGGAAAATGGACATGTTATGTTTTTGTACTGCCAGATCCCTCAGGCTAATATACCCAGTCTAGAAAAGTAACTTGTCCAAAGTCTGCACATTTCAGTTTATTTTTAATGGCAAAGAGTTATCTCTGAAAAGGGTTCTAGTAAAAGTTCCTCTGCAAGGTTCTACTAGGTGGCTCAGAGGTTCAGGGATGATGATGATGATGATAAAAAACTACAGTACCTCATTGTGTTCCAAACAGGCAATCATGACCTCCGACAAGATAACCACTCCCGTTCGTCCCACACCAGCACTGCAATGCACCAGCAAGGGCGGGTTGGGGGCTGTTGGATCTGCAGTGCTATTTGTATGGCGCCGTACTGACTGGATCTCTTCCAAGTATGCTGTCAAAAACAGCAGAAAACAAGTACAGAGAAAACATTTCAGATGGAATTGAAGGAAGGCAAACAAGTCCAGAAAATAACAGCCAGGAGTGCTCACGGTGGCTTATCTCCAGTTGTATGGAAGGAGGTATCACTGAACTCAAGGTGGCTTACCTCTAAGCAAACCTGTTTTGTTTGTAATGAGATCATTACCTTGTCTTCAACTGACACCATTCCGATAAACTCAAGACAGTCCAAATACTTCTCCACATAATTCATCATTAACTCTGCCCTAGAATACCTTCTAAACCTTTGATATTTTTCTCGTTAAGAAGGAAGCAGGCAACACACACTCACACAGGCTGCAGGTACTCTTCCCCAACCACACAATGTCCCATTCAAGCACCAAATGTTAGATGTGAAATGGTGGCAAAAAGCATGTAGACACCACACACGCCTTATTTTCAAGGATATTAACAAGCTTGAACATATTCAGAGGACAGATGGCCTGCAAACCAAAAAGAAACAGCTGGATCTGTTCAGCCCGAAGAAATGAAGACTGAGAGGTGGTATAATAGCCATCTTCACTTCTGACTTGATGACCCGAGGGATCCCCTCAAGCTGTACTGTTCTCTGATTCAAAGCCCAACTGCGTTCCCAGAGCTGGATATTAAGTATGTGCTCACTGTGCATGCTGTTTTGAAAGGGGTGGGTGGGTTGCTGCCATTTTTTTGACAGGATGAAAGGAAACGTGTGATTACAGGGGACAATTCAGATCCCTTTTGCTAGAAGGTATCTAAACCTTCTTCAAGGAATAATTCTATCCATATTCATGAAAATGTAGAGACATTCACTTTTGTTAATAATGAACTCCCATTTGACTCCTCTGTGACAATGATGATTTACTTACATTGTTGTACTCTTAAGTGCTTAACTTAACTTTTATTCTTTATTCACTGCCAGATGCCGTGTACATCTAACTAGTAGTTCCTAGTGACAAAAATAGGTAGTCTACTGTAAGAAAACCTATTTGTTTACTGTAGGAGAACAGGGTAAGTTTATCCAGCAGCAGGTTAAACACTTAATAACATCTTATGCATTTAGTAAACTGATTAGAATTCATATTACATGTTTCAACAGAGACTCTATTTTGTCAATGTCTGCAGGCAAAAAAATCCTATTGGACAAAAACAGATGCTGAAGGGCAGTCCTGTGCAACTGCTTCCTTGATCAGCAGAAGCTGAAGAACAACCATCTGGCAATGCAGGTAGGCTTGCATGCCCGATGCCTATTTACTCTGCACATAACCAAGAGGATTCTTGCCTCTCTTTACTTAATTTCTACCACATTATTCTACCTAGGTGGATTAGTAAGATTGCTTAACAAAAACAAGAGAATACCTTTAAATTGTTCAAGCGATTAAACTACTAATCTTAAAAGACCACCACATCCCCATGAGGGATCAGTTCCAAGCCCCCCAAACGGATGCCAAAAACCGTGGATAACAGTGAACCCTATACATAGTAGGCTTCCTCTAGTGGCCAGTTCTTATATTTACACAGTGAAATACATATTTCTGGGTTATTTATTTTAATATTTTTAAATATTTTTTAAACTGTAGCTAAGTGAAACCATGAATATTGATCCTGTGGATACAGAGTTCTTACTATAGTTTACTAGCCGTGAATCACAGATTTAGCAAAAGAGAGGCAGCTTATTCTTTAAAAGGGCATTCAACCTAGAAATGTGTTTATCGGCCTGCAAAAAGCTACCGTGTCTCCCCGAAAATAAGACAGGGTCTGGTATTAATTTTTGCTCCAAAAACACATTAGTGCTTATTTTCAGGGGATGTTTTATGTTTTTCATGTACAACAATCTACATTTATTCAAATAGAGTCATGTCATCTTCTTCTGGTTGCTGCACAATGGTGGAGGGTGGGGTTTCACTTAACTAGGGCTTATTTTAGGGGTAGGGCTTATATTATAAGCATCCTGAAAAATCATACTAGGTCTTATTTTCAGGTTAGGTCTTATTTTCGGAGAAACAGGATAGAAAGGAGACAAGGAGCATGGCAGGTTCTCTTAAGCAAGAATCAAAGGCACACACTGTCCATGCTAAACTATAAATCAGAGCAGCAATAGTCAACTTGTAGTCTTGTACATATTGCTGTACTACAATTCCCCTCAACCCTGGGCATCTGAGTCGGAAATGCTGGAAGCTGCAGCTCAGCAACCTCCTGAGGGCCACACTTTGCCTTCTATTTTGCCTTCCTTTTCCATGGGAGATAATTCATTGACAAAAGAAGGATTTAAAATAAACACATACACAGAAATCCTTTTATGTCCTCTGGACAGCCATGCTCTGGCCAGTCAGTGTACTGAAGATGCCACACCGTTCTCTCTTGCCCTGTGAGGAGGTGCTTGATCTTTAAACCTGTTGTTGCATAGCAACCAGAGTCCGTCCGGAACCGGGTGGTAATCTTAAATCGTCCGTATGTCACAGTGTTGTGCCTTGAGCCAAGCCGGGGCCAGTATCGAAAACTTTTCTCTCGGCCACCCTCCTGGAAACAAAATGCTCCGTCAATGAAAAAACTTCCAGTGTTCTTGCACATCAACAGGATGTTTCACAAGAAATATCACACTACAATATAATCCGAAATACTTTCCCTCCATCAACAGATTCGCCTTTGAAATTCCTAAGGTAAAACAAATCCTGCTCTGCCCTTGTGGTCATTCAATGCTTGGGACTAATTGCAACTAATTACAAATAACAGTCTCTAGAAAAGTTCATCAGTGGTTGTAAATAGGTCATCTAATTAGCATTTGTATTTTATATTTATATCATTGTTATTTTACCATTGTTAGATTATGACAGAGGTTCTCACATTCTTTACGGCACAAAAGCTTCTACTAAAGACCTGCATATCTAAGACACTATCATTACCCACTGACTTTCTCACAAGCCAACTTTGATCTTCGTATTGATAGTTATACTTTAATGCCATGTATAAATAGTTGCCATGTTGTTTCTTGTTCTCTTATGTCTGATGAAGTGGGCTTGTCCATGAAAGCTCATATCAAAAAATTCAAAAGTTAGTCTGGCTGCCACCACATTTTTGTCTTTTTTAAAAAACTTTTTTTATTTTGTTTTCTTCTATAATCACAAGGAATTATTTTTTCAATGGTCTACCTCACCTTTCTTTCAAGAGGCTCAAGGTGGCAACACAGTTCCCACCACCAGGCACACATTTACTCTCAGACAATCCTGTGAGGTATTATAGACCATTCACAGTTCAAGATCACACAGTACACTTCATAGTTGTGCAGTTGATATCTCCGCTCCTAGACCAACAATTTAACCACAGAACTAGACTGATTATGTGATACATTAGCCAGAATTCCACTGAAAATTTACACCAACATGACTCCATCAGGGTAAATCTCAGCTGGGAACAACTGCAAGTTAAGAAGTTAGCAGAGATGTTTGCTGTTGTGTGTTGAGTCAGGTGACTGGTGTGCATTATTAAAATGCCTCCACCAACTTCCTGACCTGCTATAATTTGCAGCTAATATTTTTACCAATAATCTTATTACAGAAGGCAGAACTAATAGGATTCCAGCCAAATGCTAAATTCAGATGTTAAAACAGAGAATGCTTATGTGCAAAAGGGATCTTTCTACTTTCATCCCCTCCATCTGTGCTTTTGTTACCTCCCTACATGTAAAGGGTCATGAGTCAAAAAGAGAAGAAAGTCTATGGACAACCTCCATTATAATTGGGACTCTGATGCTTTTCCAGGGATTTTTTAAATATGGTATTCCCCCAGCAGATAGTGGGGACTCTTCCCGTAGATATTTGCTGCTTTCCACATGGAGGAGGGTGATAGACATGATGACAGAAAGGGGTGGGCCAAGAACCTTCTCCTTTATGTACTCTTCAAATTTTAAAAAAAACAATCAAATAAGGCTTATTTGAACATGGTCATTCCAAATCAAATTGAAGGGAAGTCTGACCAACCAACACATGCATAGGGAAGTCATCTCATGTTTATTCATATAAGCACAGGTAGGTCGTTCAGAAATAGGACCTGGAAGTTGGCAGCTACAAAGTAAATCCTTTTCTCAAAGCAGAAAACTCTCACCTCTTCCGCTGTCACCATAGCAATAATGGCAATCCCTTGCTCCCAAACCATCTGCCAGAAATCTTGGCATGTATTCTGCAGAGGACCTTGGGTGGCAATATAATCCCACTCCATTCCCCCAACACAGACCTGTGGAACATGAAGAGAAAAGGTTGCGAGTGCAGAATGAGGCTGAGAAATTAAATCAGCTTGTAATGACAAATGAATGGCAACATCATATGATAAAGAGTAAGTAATAATGATCATGCACCAACAAGTCAAAATGATCATACACCAACAAGTCAATTCTGACACTGTGACCCTTTTCAGGGCTTTCTACGTAGATAATACTCTGCAGTGGTTCGCCATTCCTTTCTTCTGGGGGTGTCCTGGGACGATGCAGCTTGCCCAAGGCCACACAGACTAGCTCTACTTGCAGGAGTCCCAGTGAGAAATCAAACTCCCAGCCTCTGCTGCCACAACTGGATACCTAAATCACTGAGCTATCCAGACAGCATCTGGGCAACCTAGACATAAAGAATAGAGCATAGGAATGGGTGTACTCCAATGTTAATCAATCTGTATGCTGCTCTTGCCAAGTCCCTCCATCTCTTTACATTTCACTGTAGAAGCAGAATTCATAGTACTTAACATATTATGAGAAAGACAACAAAACATTATATGTTTTGGCCCCTTCTTGGATGTGATTTTTTCCATGCCAACTTGACACTTGGTGGGACCACACTATCAGACAAAATCATGCTACTTCTCTTTTAAGGGAACCAACTGATAACAACACTGATAAAGTTGAATAAAATTAACGCTGGTTATCTGAATGTCTGTTGGAAATGTGAGAAGGAAATTGGTACATACTGTACTTTCATATGTGGTGGGAATGTGAGAAAGTACAAAGATTTTGGAAATTAATCTTTAAAGAATTAAATGACATATGTGGAAAAGATATAGAATTTAATCCTGGGATAGCTCTGTTATCAATATTTGAGAATGTGGAATATGATATGATGACTGGAGAGTTGATTACCAATTTATTAACAGCAGCCAGATTAAGAATAGCTAGGAACTGGGAATCAAAATTGGAATTTCAAATGGAAGAATGGTATAATGAGATATGGACGAGACATGAAAAAGAATAAATTCTATACAGTGGACCCTTGACTTACAGATGGCTTGATTTACAGAATTTTTGAGTTACAGACTTCTCTGGCCGCAAAATTTAGGTTTGACTTGCAGACTGAGATTTGACTTACAGACCAGAAAAAAACCAAAATGGAACAAAAATGGCCTGTTACGGGATTCATCGGTTTTCAATGCACTGTAGGTCAATGGAGACTTGACTTACAGACTTTTTGACTTGAGAACTGCCTTCCAATACGGATTAAGTTCTCAAGTCAAGACCCCACTGCAATATATGGGGCAGATGTCTTGAATATGTGCTAACAAGAGGAAAAGGGAAAGCTCCAAATCAGGAATCAATGCAGTTCTGGAGAAGAAGACAATAAAGGAAGAAGAATAAAGATAAAGGAAAAACAAGATTACTGCAAGAGGGTCCCGATTATGGTGGTGAGGAACACAGTTGATTTGTATTTTCATTTATCTATTTTATGTTTATGCTTATGTTGTAGTTTATTTAATAAAGTTTAAAAAATAAAGGAACCAACAGATTTCAGAGTAAAGGAAAACTGACTGATAAGTTTGTACAGATCAAAGTCATTTCATGCTCAAAGTCTATTGGGAGTAAGATGCCGGAGAAAACCAATTTCCAAGGAAATTCCTACTGAGAAATAGGTTTGACTTACTTTGTAACAGAAATACCCTTTCTAAAAGTCCTGAAAATGCAAGGCATTTATTTTATATTTCTCAATGAACATCACCAAAAATGTTGAAGAATCAGGAATAGCATACCACTTGCTCTATTACCTTCTGACAACAAAGAATCAATCCTGCCTTTCTTTGGACCTTGGAGACGCATGAACATACTCTGACATCTGTGCCCTAGAAAAACACTCCTAAAAAGTCTGGAAGGGGCCAAAAATGCAAATTGCACTTCTTAGAAGCATCTGGAACGAGGTGCCCTCTAAGGTGTGTGCCTACATGCGCATGATTCCACCTCCCTCTGCATAGCTTCCCTCCTCCTCCATGGAGCCCCTTTGGTTCTGGTTGTGATGGAACCCCACAGGTACGTGGGGGGGTCAAGTTGCACACGCACACAGAGGAGAAGTTGCATGAGAGGGAGGTGGTAGTCCACGCAGCAGGGCTGAAAATTAGAGGGTATGTTGATCCGGAAGGTACAATTGTCCTTGTGCAACCAATATCCCAGTGCCTGTTTTAAGCCCCAAAACGCCTTTAAAAAAAAGGAACAGGTTGCATTGACCTGGTCACTTCAAATTATTTTTTAAAAGTCCCTTTAAGGCTGAAAACAGGCACAAACACACAGGGGGCGAGGGAGCAGGAACACAAATTAGACACACAGGCCAAATCCCACTCCAATACCTCTGAGAATATGCGACTTGCAATTTTCAGGATGTTCAGAGGTTTTGAGAATCAAGGTGGTATACAGGGAGGCCTGGGAAAGAACTGACCATTCAGTGCTAAACCACAGTATAGTCCAATATACATAAGCAAAAGGGAGCCAATATACAATTTTGCTTGACCAATTTTTAGCTTACTAATAAATGCAACCAGAAATTGTACCTTCAGATTAAACTCTTGTTTGTAAAGAAGATGTAACTTTATAGGGCCTATGACTGACTTCTTGAGGAACTGATCAGAGTTTATTAGGGGACTGCATTTCCACGGTTCATGTTCTGGGATTTTCTGCCCACAAACACACCTACTGACAACTATATTTTGTTAACCTGGAACAGGGCCTATCTCCAACACTGCAGGGCCTTCTCTAGACCTCTTTTCCAGTTAATGTATTTTTTTAAGGGAAGCTGCCACAGTACTTCCTGGGAATTACAGACTTTCTACCCATTAGATTCTTCAGATGGCACCTCCCAAAGAACTGAAACTCCCAAGAAGCCCTAGAGCCACCCCCTGCCCCTTTTCAAACTTTAACAATAGGAAACAAAGCCCAAAGAAGGCCATGTACAATTCTTGCAGAACGCAAAATAAAAAATAAAAATAAAAAAATGAAGGAAAACATTCCTAAAATTTAAAGCATGACTCATGGTAGGCAATTAAAAGCGGGCAAGAGCAGCTATTGGCTTATTTGTCCTGCACAATAAGAGAAGGCGGCAAGGGGAATTATGTCAGACCAAGGGCTTTCCTCGGGATTGTTTCTGCTCATACATGTGACAATAAACTATACAAAGTATTGCATACAAAGCCTATGTCCAGTAGAAGCTGCTGGGTGAATAGCATTCTTCACCAATGACTGTCTAGAACTGATGGGAGTAGTGGTCCAAGGACACCTGGAGAGCAGTAGTTTGCCTATTTTCACTAAGAAAAACAGTGGCTCCCCCTCAGCCTTGTAGCTTTGCTTTGCTCCTTCTTTGCCCATTTTGATCTGTTCTTAACCTAAATATTTAAAAAGGCAATTTGAAGAATTATCCATGGAAACACTCAGTCTTGTGTCTCATCTCACCTTAATGTGGGAAGCATTAATATAACCCGTATTGTTTTCTTTTGTTGGAACTAGCTCTACTCTGGTGTCATCATACGGAAGCACATCTTGGAACCTGTTGCGCTCTGCATTTTCTGGGAGACGAGCTATTGAGCAGTCACCATCCACAAGCCGCTTCTTCTGAACGCGCTCATATTCTGTAAACACCATTCCTTGTTCCAACCGCTGTTCCAAACTTTTACACTAGAAATAGAAAACATGAGGGTTTTACATATGTTATATAGGTACACAGAAGAATGTACGGACTCATATCACGCCGGTTCTGAAAAATTTACACTGGCTGCCGGTTACTGCTCGGGCCCAATTCAACGTGCATACTTTGACATATAAAGCCCTAAATGGCTTAGGACCTGGTTACCTAAGGGACCGCCTTCTTCCATATGAGCCTGCCCGTCCTCTAAGATCAGGCCAGGAGGCCCTTCTGAAGGTGCCATCCCTGAAAGAGGTGAGGGGGATGGCATGTCGAAATAGGGCCTTCTCGGCTGTTGCCCCCCAAATTTGGAATGCCCTTCCTGTAGAGATCTGCCTGGCTCCGACACTCTTGGCTTTTCGGCGCCAGGCAAAGACCTTTCTGTTCAGCCAGCATTTTAATTAAACAGTATTCCCTAGCTGGCCAAATGAGCAGCAGGACTTATTAATTTTTAATGTTTTAAAAATTGATTTAATATATGACATTTTATATTGTCTTTTAATGTTTTTAAGTTTTAATGTTGTACGCCACCCAGAAGCCACTGGTAATGGTGCGGCTAAAAATATTGTAAACAAACAAACAAACAAACAAACAAATAAATAAAGAGTAGAATAATGGAAAGAGTAGAATAATGGATTTTTAAAAAGATCTACCCGGATCACCCGCGCGAGCCAGGAGGTGAGGCTGAGGAGCCTGACGCTGAGAGAGGCCCGGAAGGAAAAGACACGAAACCAGGCCTTCTCGGTGGTGGCTCCTCGCCTCTGGAACAATCTCCCTCCTGAGATTTGCTCGGCCCCCACTTTCTGAGAACTCCCAGAAGTACAAGCGGGATTCCGAAGGGGCAGAGGAACTCGAGACCAAATTGCCAACATGCGCTGGATTATGGAGAAAGCCAGAGAGTTCCAGAAAAACATCTACTTCTGCTTCATTGACTATGCAAAAGCCTTTGACTGTGTGGACCACAGCAAACTATGGCAAGTCCTAAAAGAAATGGGCGTGCCTGACCACCTTATCCATCTCCTGAGAAACCTATATGTGGGACAGGAAGCAACAGTTAGAACTGGATATGGAACAACGGATTGGTTCAAAATTGGGAAAGGAGTACGACAAGGCTGTATATTGTCACCCTGCTTATTTAACTTATATGCAGAATACATCATGCGGAAGGCTGGACTGGAGGAATCCCAAGCTGGAATTAAGATTGCAGGAAGAAATATCAACAACCTCCGATATGCAGATGATACCACTCTGATGGCGGAAAGTGAGGAGGAACTAAAGAACCTTGTAATGAGGGTGAAAGACGAGAGTGCAAAAAACGGTCTGAAACTCAACATCAAAAAAACTAAGATCATGGCCACTGGTCCCATCACCTCCTGGGAAAAAGAAGGGGAAGATATGGAGGCAGTGACAGATCTTACTTTCTTGGGCTCCATGATCACTGCAGATGCAGCAGCCACGAAATTAAAAGACGCCTGCTTCTTGGGAGGAAAGCAAAGACAAACCTTGACAGCATCTTAAAAAGCAGAGACATCACATTGCCAACAAAAGTCCGAATAGTCAAAGCTATGGTTTTTCCTGTAGTGTTGTATGGAAGTGAGAGCTGGACCATAAAGAAAGCTGACCGCCGAAGAATTGATGCCTTTGAATTGTGGTGCTGGAGGAGACTCTTGAGAGTTCCCTGGACTGCAAAGAGAACAAACCTATCAATTCTAAAGGAAATCAACCCCGAGTGCTCAGTGGAAGGACAGATCCTGAAGCTGAGGCTCCAGTACTTTGGCCATCTCATGAGAAGAGAAGACTCCTTGGAAAAGACTTTGATGTTGGGAAAGTGTGAAGGCAAGAGGAGAAGGGGACGACCGAGGATGAGATGGCTGGACAGTGTCGGCGAAGCAACCAACA